CGTATTCTTTTGTTCTCTATGTCACAGTAAATTTTAAGCGTTGGATCAATGTGCAGCGGTGTAACTGAAGGGAGGTTTGTGGATTTGAGATTAGGTTCTTGAGTTCCTCATCATGCAATTGAGCTTTTGCAATTTCAGAGAAATCTGGGGGTAGTGAGGTTGATATTGTTTATCCGAGACAAGGCATCAGCGACACAATTATCAGTACCAGAGACATATCTGATATCTGTACTAAACTGGGCGATGAAATCCAGATGTCGAAGCTGACGAGGAGAACATGAGTCAGAGTTTTTTCTAAAAGCGAAGGTTAATGGTCGATGATCGGTGAAAATGATGAAGTCGTGCCTTCCAAGTTGTGCCGGAAGTATTTAACAGCACAGTACACAGCAAGTAGCTCCCTGTCATATGTGCTGTATTTCCTTTCTGCAGTAGTAAGTTTTCTGGAGAAGAATGCCATTGGGGAAAGTCCTTTAGTGGTATGGGCTTGAAGCACTGCTCCTATGGCCGTGTCAGTTGCATCTACCACTATAGAGAACTGATCACTAGGTGAGTGATAAGAAAGTGTGGCTGCATTTGCCAGATCGTGTTTGCATTGCACGAATGCTGCAGATGCAGATTCAGTCCAAGGGACAGTTCGTTGATCTTTTTTTTTTTTTCTCTATTCTTCAGAAGCTCACGTAGGCAGGCTTGTGTTTTTGCGGCATTTGGAAGAAAGCATCGGTAGAAATTTAACATTGCTAGAAAACGCTTCAGTTCAGAGATGGTTTTGGGCTGAGGTAGGTCGTTAATTGCTTTGACTCTTTCCGGTAAAGGTTTGACTCCATTCTGGGTGATAAGACATCCAAGAAAGGAAACTGAGGGTTGACCAAGTACACATTTGGATGGATTTAGTTTTAATCCATGATCTTTAAGGCGAGTGAAAATCTGACACAGATGTTGAAAATGTTCTTCCGCATCTGTAGATGCAACCAGGATATCATCAAAATAGGGATGCAGAAATTGAGGCCAGACAGTACTTGGTGTATGAAACGCTGAAATGTTTGGCCAGCATTGCGAAGGCCAAATGGCATATATAAGTACTCAAAGAGACCAAATGGTGTAGTCACTGCGGTCTTGGGCACATCTTCAGCATGCACTGGGATCTGATGATATGCTCTGGCAAGATCGAGGGTAGAAAATATGTTTGTTCCATGAAAAAGATGGGTACAGTCTTGGATATGTGGGACTGGATATCTGTCAGGGACTGTGACGGCATTAAGTCGACGGTAATCTCCACAAGGCCGCCAGTCACCAGTAGACTTTTTAACCATGTGAAGTGGACTGGCCCATGGACGTTTAGATGGGCGAATGGTTCCCTGTGCTAGCATGAATTCAAATTCTTTGCGAGCAGCTTTTAACATCTCTGGAGAAAGACGACGAGGCTTGGAAAATACAGGTGGGCCATGTGTTTCAATGTGATGATACACTTCTGGCTGATGAGTATGCTGCCCTGATTTGGATGGGTTTAAAATGTCAGGGAATTCTGCTAATAACCGATGAAACCGTGTGCTGCCCGATACAACACTTATGTTGGTAGGTACGTTCGATATGTGAGAAGCTTGGCCCTGTGATGTCAGCCGAGTTGTAGCATCAATTAAGCAATTATTCTTGACATCCACAAGAAGGTGGAAATGTGTCAAGAAGTCGACACCAATAATTGCTTGAGTTACATCCGCAATAATAAAAGGCCAGTTGAAAGTCCGGCGCAAGTTTAAATCAAGTGTCAATAGTTTGGTGCCGTAAGTGCAATTTGAGTACCATTGGCTGCATACAGTACAAGTTTATTAAGTTAGTGAGCATTTGTTTTAGTTCTCGGGAGCACTGATATGTCAGCTCTAGTATCTACTAGAAAACATAACTGAGTTGAACGATCAGCCAGTACTATTCTGTCGATGTGGCGGACATTCTGTTGGCCAGCAGAAGACCGCCCATTTAGTTTCCCGCTTGTTCAAAAGTGCATGGAGGGGCACACTTGCGAGCTTGAGTGCCAAAATTCATATGATAAAAACATATGCCACCTGTGGGTTCTTTGTACTGCGTTCGAGTATTGTGACGAGATCGAGTCTTGCTTCGGGCACGAAATTTATTACGTGGGCTCTGATTTGATCGATTGTATCTCCGTGGAGCATGAAGACTTGTAGAGAGTTCAGATACTTTTTTGGTCAATTTAGCCACTTGTTGTTCGAGGGATGAACTGGAAGGTGCAGCATTAGCAGCACTGACATAAGCTGGAGTAACAAGTTCATTAATTTTGTCAGCCATTGCTGCTAAATGGGTTAGATCTTCATTGGAAGCAGCAAGAATTATTTGTATGTTATCAGGGAGACGCGAAAGCCATAGTGACTTCAACAAGTCGTCACTAAAATGGCTTCCTGCCACATCACGCATTCGTGACAGCAAGTATGAAGGTCGCTGATCTCCAAGTTCAAGTCCTTGTAGTAAAGTACGTATTTTTGAAGATTCACTTCCTGAATAGATTTCAATGAGCCGCTGTTTCAGTTTGGAGTATTTATCACAATCAGGTGGTTTGAGAATTAAGTCATGCACTGAATTCAGAATATCAGACTGAATTGCTGCAACTACATGGTTGAATTTTGTAGAATCATCACTAATACGAGCGATAGAAAATTGTGCTTCGATCTGAGCGAACCACAATGAAGGATTATTTTTCCAGAAAGGCGGTGCCTTCACCGCAACGCGTGTGATTTGTGGCTCTGGTGGAATATCGTCGGGCATACTGATAGATAACTTTCACTTTAATTAATAAACACTTAACAGCACAAATATTGTAGCATGAGGATACACTATTGATATTTTACCATGATAACAATAAATATTTTAACCATGCAGAAAAAATTTATGTAACGGTACACACACAAATAAGACAGGGTCAGCAATTACACACACAAATAATATTTTGCCGAAATGCATTTGAAAAGAAACCCCTATTTGAGAAAAAAAAATGATGCATTCATTTTGTATTGCGCACACACAAAATCACCACTTCACACTGCTGAGACACTTTTGAAGGAAAAAGGAAATCACTCCTGTAGCACATGGGAAAAACATTCTACTTTCGAACACTGAGGGAAGAATTTTGCCGTAGCACATTGCAGAAAAATTACTGATGTAGCACATTTAGCGAAAATCACTATTGTATCACACTTGTCACAAAAGTTGAATGATCGAAGAATTATTGCACGACTGGCGAAGTCAGCGGAACGGAACAGATCACATTGATGATTTGCCGAAGCTCCTTGCGATGATATGCAAGACTTGGAAAAAAACACAAGCACTATATATCAATACTTCTAGAAATAATTGAAGGAAAACGTTGTAGCATACGTTTAATGTCCATATTCATTGTTATTTTTAGTCAGTTCTTCAGAATGCCTTGGATGCACGTGGCTTAGGATCGTTGAAAATCCATTGTCAGTAGCGTGCTCAGTCAAAAGGTCACCACTTTTGGTGGTCGTGTGCTTAATGCATGATATAATTAAAGAAAATAAGAGTAGACAATCTCCTATAACAAAAGAATATATTAAGTACTAAATTACAATTTAAATTACATTGCAGAGATCAACGCAGAGCGCGGAACACAGTTCATGCTACCGTCGCGTACAGTTGTCTCACGAGAAGTCTGAGTGAGTAATGACGTCGCTTTGCTGCTCCGATTAAGAACTGGATTTTACACATGGCGCCATCTCATGAATAGAAGTTGAAGTATCTGTCAGAACGCCACATAAGTTTATTTGGTTATATAAATTAAACAATCCAAGCAAAAGAACACACACTGTAAATAATGGGAAAAGAAACCAAGTTATAAATGGCAGTAAAGATGAATATTTAAGACAGAACTTGAACTATGTCTTTGAGTTCAAACTCACATAAAAAAGCTGGTTAGAAATTTTTACTATTTACTTATTATTCCTTTTTTCCCCCATTTTCCTTTTTTTAAGGGGGGGGTACAATGTTTGTAGGCTTCGGACCATGAACAATTAAATTGAAGCACTTGTAGACAAGAAAAAAAAAAAAAAAAAAAAAAAAAAAAAAATCCAGATAACTGACATTGTTCACTATGTTTTTTTTCCTTTTCATATTTGCTATAAACAGTTTTGTTTTACATTGGTAGTTCTGATAGTAATTTTCCCAGCATTTTGCAATAAACCAAAGCCTTTTCTTCAGATAGGATCTAGTTAATCTGTCTGCAATTAATCAATACAATTGTTTGATTGCAGGTCAAAACAGCATACTCAATTTGTTTTAATTTGACTCTGTAATAACAGTATAAAGTTTAAATCAAATTTTTGCCTTTTATTACTCAAGAAATTAGCTCAGTAATTAAGAATCGTTTGAAAGCCTATAATTTTTATATCCCTTAACCATTTTTACCATTAATTTTTACTTTAAAGTAGCTTTGTTTCCACATATTCTGTTTAATTCACCAAAAATTCATTTACACTATTCAATCCAATATTTCTTTTTATATGGCATTAGGGAAATATTTTTTTTAAGTTTTTCTCAAATACGTCATAATATATCTTGTTTTCTGCTGCATAAAATTTATATCTTAAAGGATATTTTGTTTTCTAATACAATAACTAGAATAACAAGAAATTTCTTGATATCTTCATTTGCAATAATCATATAAAAGGTCTTCCACCTACTTGCCATCATGAACACTTCTGAATGAGCGTCAACAATATCAACTACAGAAAAAACAGTTAAAAATACTAGTCAGCAAATAAGTTCTGAACAAAATATTAGAAAAGCTTCTCTGCTCTGAAATTATAATTAAGTGATACAGTGTTTTGTTAGAACATATATTTGTGTTTTTCTGTCTGCAAGCACTGGATTCAAGAAAACTGAAATTCATGTTCTCCATCCAAAAGGTGTCAGTAAAAGTTTTAAAGGTGCATTCCACACATATATACATACAAACAAGAAAAAGAAATTCTTACGTGGAACAGATTCTCGCAGTTTCTCCAGCATTTCATCAGTAGGAAATTCAACACTTTCAGCAGGCACAGGCTCATATTTTTGAAATTCCTTTCCAAGTGAAGGAAGAGAAGAACTGTCTTTTGCACTGTAGAAAAAAAAAATGAAATGACATGGGTTATTTCTGAATTTTACAACTGATCTATATTTAATAAATCATCAGAACCAATAAAAAAATTCATTAAATCCACACAACAGATATACAAAATATACAAATATAAACATAAAAATTAATGTATGCACCTCAGTCAGAAAAACCTCAACAGACTGAATTTACAAAAGATATTCTACAAAGTATAACAATGGAATTCAAAAAATATCTTATCTAATAAGTTATTATTTAGAAAAAAAAGCTTAATATTAAAGTTGGAATTTGGTTTGAAGATTTTACACTTGAAATTATAGTTTTCGAAATTAATTACTCATTTATAATTTTTTCCAAAAAACATTAAGTACTCTATTTTTTACTTCAGAGTTCATTAGAATTTTTTTTTTCAATTCCTAGATCAGAAGGAACATCTGTGAGCCTGATTTGTTATATTTCTTACTCACTATTTATACCAATTCCCTGTCTCGTTGTTATACAGAAAAAATAAATCTGTGTTGATACAATACGTAACCTAAAAACTTGACACATCAGTGAAATTTACAGGCCACTCTTTGAAAATACTTCCTTCACAATTCTCTGTTATGATGGATAGAAGACATTCACTTGCACCTTCCTATAAAAAAATCCCACCTCTTTAAGTACTGAAAGTGATTGGTGTTGCATCATTCCATGAATCTTGGACAAAACTCAACATATCAAGAGCATAAAAATCCCAATTTTAATTTTGTTTTCACACCATTCAATATTTGTCAGACTAATAACTTCCTACACTTCACTTCATATGATCAAATAATTACAAAATCATAAGGTAACAATACAGTTGCACATATCGGAAGATGGTGTGGGAAAAAACTTTCTGCGTTAGTACAGCGAGGATGATTTCGACATTTTCATGACTACCGAGTTTCATGTGCAGCTTAAAAATGATACCCAAATTGGTTCATTAAAAAAAAAAAAAAAAAAAAAAAAAAAAAAAAATTGCTTAAAATTTTAAAATGCAAAAATTTTGATAGTTTGTTAAAATGCAATAAAATATTCATTAAATTGATATGTTTTTGCTCAATTTTTATGAGAGAAATGGAAGAAGAGTTCTTAAATGAATTCTGAAGGAGTCAATTTACTTTCATTCTTGAATTTGTAACTAAACACTTTGTCCATCAGTCCGCTTTACCTTTTTTAAGCTAAAAGGAAATATTTAGTAATGCAGATGCATAATTTATTTAATAGAACAATCCCTGTCCAAATAATTAACACCCTTCTCCTATAATTCTGAAACCTTTTGGGGGAATCTTTCTGAATCAATAGTCAAGGAGATAAAGTTGGGAGAGATTTGTTTTAAATGCATTGTATATATATATATATATCGAGTCGTAACAAAAATGTTCTGTCAAAAAATGTTCTTAAAAAAGTTAGAAGAAAAAATGTGAAAGTAGTTCCTTTAGTGCAGGTAGCCACCCAAAAATCGTGTGGGTCACCACCCAAATCTTTGAATTTCTGCCAAAGTTTTGGTAGTTTTTCAAAACCTTTGGCCAAGAAACTTGGAGGCCATGAGACCAAAAACAGATCAACCTCGTTTCAGGCGTCCTGTGCAAAATGGAAGATAGCACCAGCAAGATGTAACTGCAGGTGCGAAAAAAGGTAGAAATCCGAAGGAGCGATGTCAGGGCTACATGGTGAGTGTGGAAAAAGATCCCATTCAAGTCTGTAAAGAGTCCAATCGGTGAATGCCCACACATGTGGCCTTGCATTATCTTGATGGAACATTACCTTTTTGCACTGGAACTCAGTTCAATGCTTTTCCTTGAAAGTAGCATCAACACAAACAAGCATCTCGCTGTACACCTTACTGTCGAGGGTTTTATCTTTTTCCAGATACTCTTTGTGGATAATACTATGACAATTCCACCAGATACAAAGTAAGATCTTTTTTTCAGTCAAATTGAACTTTGCAAAGCTGAAGGTGGGCCCACGGGGCACAGACCAACCCCGTTTTCAGCCTGTATTGTTGAAGTAAATCCACTTTTCATCACAAAAGACAATCCAGTTCCGAATTTTGTCCTTGCATTGATATTCGACGAGATTAATGCCAATCCAAACACATCTGCCCTTATCTGCTTGAATCAGCTCACTCTCTCTTCTACAAAAATCCTTGCTTTTCTGTATCTAGAATTAGCTGCATATATACGAAAGCTAAATTTGGAGAGATGCATAAACATTAACAATTTTTAAAAAGCATTATGAAAAATATTGCACTCTCTGCTTTTCTGTTTACTAAATGATATAGATTTCATATTCAAGTTTAAGTCTGGGAGGCAAAAAAAAAAAAAAAAAAAAAAAAAAAAAAAGAAGAAGAAGAAGAAGAAGCAATAAACTGATGAAGTTCACTCATTTAATGTTTATATGTTTAATTTTATGTTATCTAACTTTAACATAACTCTAGAGAAATTTGTTCATTATTTTCTTTTAATTAAATGAAATTCTGTATAAAAAATAAAGCATCACAAAGCAAATAGTATTACGTCTCACCTATGTTACCAAAGCAAAGATTATTAAGTATTATGTTACCTTCACCAGTAGTATCAAGAAAAGTAAATTGTTTCTTGCTTCTTCTTCTTGGTTATGACATTACTTATCGTGGTTATAGATAAGTAAGAGGCAAAGTTGATGAAAAGTACATTTTATGATGAAGCTATATGAATTTATATAAATAACATACAAACTTTCTAGAAGTTAGAGAAAAATAGGAATCTGAATTTTGATTTTGCTATTATTTTTGGCTACAATAAGAAAAAAAATGGCAACTTGAGAGTAACAAATTTCAAAGGGCTTCCTTCCAGAAGGGGAAAATTTCTGCATATAACTGTCCAAAAAATTCAGAGACATCCAGTTTTCTTGTAAATAAATTCAGAACTCCAATTATCTCATTAACTAGTTATTCTTTTTAGGCCAAGTAAAGTTTGTTGTTCATTTCATTGTTTAAATAAGGACCATTTGACAATAAAATATAGACCACTAAGCATATTGCATACTTTTTTGCCCCTCGGATTCAACATACCTTCAATTATTATCCCATACAATTTCCATTATTGTTGAAACATTTTATTTAGTATGAGAAAATTTTTATAGACCTGTATTGCAAGAATGTGCTATTTGGGGAGAAAATCCTTTTTGAGCCATTTTTCTCATTCTTCATTGGTTTTGATGTATTTGCTGATGAAAAACTTCTTCAAATGGGGAGGGGGGAAGTTTCAATCTCAGTTTGACCCGTGCAAGAGATGAGGTAATCAAATTATTGCTAGCCAAAAGATACACCTACAGCTTGCATTTAAGCAGTGTCGGGCCTCACATTGTCAAGAAGCAACAAAACTCTAGCAGCATGCTACAGCATTTTTTCTAGACTGCACAGTGAAAGTTCTTCAAAATCTGACGGTATGTTGCAATTTCTATTGATACTCCTTGCAGCAAAAAATACTCCATCAAATGAAAGACACATATTACCTCACATTCAAATATGCTAAAATGACCATTAGTAAAATTCCACATCAATTGGAGGTGCAATATAAAGGAAAAGCATACATTTGATAACTGATTCAGTGGTTTCAGAACACCGTTCCAAACAAAACAATGATTTATTTATTGCTAAGCCAAGGAACAGACATCAATAAAATGATATAAGAAGCAACTCAGCCTCTAAAAAATACAACTATTGACTGGAACAGTTTTATGTGAAAGGTGTATTCCCTATAAACTGATAACCGAAAAATTAATAGTGTCAGCAACCATATAAGTGAAATGGGCAAAAAAAATATGGATATTAATGAAACTTTTTTGATACAAGGAAGAAACAAAGCTAGGAGGGTTCTCTCACAGTGCTGTATATTTGGCAAGTCATGCTGAGAAACTGCTAAATTTTTTCTTGCTCTGGTTCTGAACAGAGAGGCAACTGCACTCACGGCAAAAGTCATCGACCATCTACACGAGCGATTGATGATTTATTCGGACTGTTCATGAGCATATAAGAGAGAGAAACTGGGAGAAGCAAGTTAGAGATATTTTACTGTGGACCATAAATTTTATTTTGTTGATCCAATGACTACATGGTGTAATAAAAATTAATGAGACACAGTTTGCCATCTTTATGAGTCTTAACTTGATAAGTTCATGTGGTGAAAGTCCTTAGTACAGTCAAAAGTCGTTAATTCGGACACCCATAATCCGGACCTCAAAGCTACAAACTTTCTGCGCATGCGTCGCTTTGATGCATGCACGTAAGACGTTTACGGCTGTGAATATGCATGTGCGCAAAATCGTTTACGAATGCGCGTTTAATGTATAACTGGCGGTATAAGCTAAGCTAAAATTATCTAATTCAGTTAATGTTGCAGATTGCATTGTTCCTTAATCTTGAAATTGGATTCGGCTTATTATTTTTTGCAGACTGTTAGAGCAATTTTATAAAAGTAAGCTTGAACTTTCGATTATGTCAAATAGAATTTCTGATATATATTTACTAATATGTAAAGGATCTACAAAGCGAAAGTATGTTTCGAAGTCTATTAAACAAAAAGTGGAATTGCTGCAAAAAATGGATAAAGGCATATCCTTTGTTTATCTAAACTTTAATGTTTGTTTATCTAAATTTTGTTTATCTTTAATGCAGCGGTGCACAATGAATTGGAAGTTGATCTGTCAGCACTATCCTTATCTTCAGGGCAGATATTTTTATTTTATTTGGCTTATAATTCCTTACTAAATGTAGTATTTCATCTCGATGTACTCCATCTTTGATATGATTTAAATCAAATTCCTCGTCATTATAATTCACTTCCGATAGTGAAGAAAGTAACAGAGGTTATTGAAAACGAAAAAATTTCGATTGACAAATTAGTCGGTATTCTCGACACAGCAATTATAGGGGCTTGAACAGCGGAACTTTGTAACTAAACAAGAAATCATGTCTGTTTAATAGAATTAAAGAGAAAGTATTATCACATGAAGCAAAGCAACTTAAACAACTTGCATTGAAAGAAATGTTTAATAAAGTAAACAAATAAATATTAAGCTTTTTCTTTTTTGTAAATTTTGATACCCTTTAGATCATAATTGTTCTTTATTTCATAAATTACGGTTTCATATTTTTAATTTTGTAATTTCTGCATGCCATCTTACCAGATTTAAACTGATGATCTATAATCCGGAAAAATCGATAATCCGTAATCGCCGAAGTCACGACGAGTCTGGATTAACGACTTTTGACTGACTGTATAAGCAAAATTGTTGATGCCATATTAAAAGCAATCATGTCAGTCAAATAGTGTAACTGAGTTAAACATGAATTTCAAGATAATCTTGGTATTATTTTGGCATTTAAAGAATACAGGCCAAAATAGTAAGGAAGTACCAAAATAAATACCAATACACATGTCACAGAATACACACAGTACATTAAAACTTACAGGTATGATGCAGCACTTATTCCCTCAGGACCTATAAGTGAAAAATGAAATATTAAAAATATAATTATCCTTTCCTCAGCAAAATTCAGAATTACTTTTACCACATATTATCTTTCAATGAATTACATTTTACCTTTTAATAAAGAAGGTAATCCAGACACAGAAGGTTCTATAGCCTCCCTACTGTAGCTTTCAGCAGCTCTTTCCCTTTCCTATTAAAACATTGAAACATGCTACATAATTGGAAAAAAAAAACTGAAAACTTTCAAATTTTACATTATGCCTAGAGAGACTTTTTTTTAACCTTTTGTATATTACCTTTATTTATTAAATGTTCTTTGCACTTAAACCATAAAATTCAATTCAACAACAATATTGCAAAATAATTTTAAAATGAGCATATCTTTAGAATTTCCAATACACAGTATCACGCGCTGGAGATAAAAATGTTCTTTTTGTTCAGTTTTGCCATTGTTCGCTTTGAAATTATTGAGTTTGTTATTAAAAAATTTGTTGAAGTATTACAAAATATGAAATCAATAATAAAACAAATTTCAAATTCCAAATTAGGGCTTCCAGATGCCCATATTCGGTGGACGATTACGTTATTCAAAGTTTGATGGCTCTAGGTACCATTGTTTTATCCCAAAGGGAGAAACAAACACACATTTATGCAGATTCTCCTTTATTTAATTTCTTTAAATATAACACAGGACTTTAATATTTGGTGGCAACAATTTGAAAAGTGAAACCACATTTAAAGTTTTCAAAGTAACATGCCAAAACAAAATTAATAGCCCTTCTGGGCTAATGCCCTTTGAGCTAATAATTACCACATTAATTCAAATTTAAACTGCACTTCAAATTTTTAAATAGTAAAATTACGTGCAGTTTAAATTCAAAGCAAATACGTTAACATCTTATATATGAAAATGATTCTAAGTAAATTAGGTAACTTATTAATATTAACATGTAAATAAAAATGTTTCTTATTTTACAATACTTATTATAAAATCATTTTTATTTTTATTATTAATTTTTTAATTTTAAAAATCGTACCTCAGTCTAAAATTTGAAGTAATAAAATTTGAAGCATGTTACAAGATGAAAGGAAAAAGATAATTTTTAACCCGGGAGAAGTCAGAGGTTTTTAACCCGGGAGGAGATCATTTTTAACCCGAGAGATGGAATGCGGGGAACAGAGTCACCCCATGCATCAAAAATCAACAATCCTAACCAGAAATATTTCATTTTAATGTATCATCCCCCTGCTTAATACTCCCCTTGGAATGTGTATTGTTATTTTTCCTTGTTTTTCTTTTCTGCGAGAGAAACAATCGTTTCTTGGAATCCATGAAAGAATGGAGTGACTCGGTCACCCCATGCGACCATTACCGCTTCGGAATTTTTCATTAGTAGCAGTTAGCTTCGTGCTCTCGAGTGTTGCCGTTGTTGTTTTGTTGGATTATTTGATAGATAATGGCTTACAAACGTAAATTTACCGAATATGAAAAAGAGATAGATGAAGTTGAGTCTTCTGAAGAAGAAATTGATCAAGATAGTGAAAATGAACCTGATGAAGAAATATACAGTTCTCACGACAGCAAAAGTGAATTTGAGCAGAATGATATAAAGACGACGGAAATCCTGATTTAGTAAAAAGTATTTTTATTAGCAAAAATAAGAGTTTGGCAGAAGGGAAAACCAAATCAAAAAGTGAAAACATCATCTCAAATTATAATAACTCATTTACCAGGATTAAAAGGAACTGGACACAATATAGCGGAGCCTTTAGAAAGTTGGGAATTGTTTTTCCATGCTAAATGATGCGATCCATTGTAGAGTGTACAAACATTTATACTAAAAAAAATATATCAGTAAACATCAGAGATCTGGATGCCAAAACAACAAGTGATGTGGAAATTAGAGCACTTTTTGGGCTTTTACATCTGTGCGGCTTGCATAAATCGTCACATACAAATACGCAAGATGTGTGGGCTACTGATGGATCAGGCATTGAAATTTTACGGAACACAATGTCATATAAAATATTTAATTTTCTTCTCAGGTGTCTACGGTTAGACAATGTGACCAATTGTGAAGCTCGGAAAAAATTGGACAAACTGGTGGCTGCAAGAAACTTTTTACTGATTTCAATGAAAATTGCCAAAAGATATACCTTATTGGTGAATATTTAAATTTAAACAAATTTAAATTTTAACAAATATATATAAATGTAAAAAAGCAAATTTAAAGCCAATATATATATAAAAAAAGGCAAATTTAAAGCCAAAATAATTTTAAAAAAAATTAGAAAAATGTGCAAACATATAAAAGATTTAATTCTCGAACTAATCTACAATATCATTTGAATTCAGAAGTATAAGCAAATCAAGTGCAGAACCAATCCATGAAAATAAATTCACTAATTTAGCAAATTAAAATTAATCTAAACAATTTTTTTTAAAATGCATAAGTGAATGGCTGTTGAGCAGGCAGGAGACAGACTTATCAAGGGGGAGTTGCCTCCAAACCTAACTCTCCAATCATTCAATTCGTGTTTCGTCATTCATGCAGGCAAGGGTAAAAGTCAAAACCAAAAGTAAAAAGTGTCCAAAAAGAAATACCAATAAAGTGGTACCCTTATAAATTAGCATCTAAGAATTAAAGTTCTAAAAGAAAAATGCTAATGAAGTCTTTTGAGAAACAAGCAAGTAAAGTCAAGTATTAAATTAAACTTTTTTAAAAAAATTCATTTTTAAATAAAAAATAATCTAGAAACCAAGTATTTTAGAAACCCTTGTCTACAAAAACCTCCCCGACACGAATATGCATATCAATAAAAAGAAACTAAAAAAGAACTAGTATAATCCATATAAAGCAATAAGAAACAAAAAGAACTAATTCACAATTTTTTAAAAAACAAATATATACTTAAAAATATAATTTCATATCTAGAAAATAAATACTACATAAAAAATTTTAAGAAATACTTAAAGCAAGTAAATAGTAAGTTTTAATTCTAACTTACCTACTATATGAGCGTTGGGAGTCTGCAAAAGTGTTTTTAAAGAGAAGTAAGTGTGTTCTTTAAATAATTATATAGATGGCGAGAATGTAGGTAAAGTTGAGTGCCAAGCTGCTATCTTTGTTATATTAAAATTTTTTGCAAACATTAATATAAAATATATAAAAAATAAATCTAGAAAAAATTAAATTAAAAATCCTAAATGTATGTAATTAAGTTTTAATTTTAATGATCAATTATTTAGAGAGTTAAGTAGCTGAGCCAATCAAGAGATGTAAGTTTGCTTGAAGTAAAATAGAGTTAAGTGGTATTGTGAATTAATAAATGTAAACTGTAATGTAAAATGTGGGTTCTGTTGAAAAATTGTATAAATATTGCAAATAATGTGAAGTGAAATTATTATTATTATTATTATTATTGTGAAAATTGTAAATAATTAAAGTAATTAAGTAAAACTGAAATGTTTTAAAATTTAAGTTTTAAAGTAAAATTTAAAATGTCTAAAAATATTCCAAAATTTTTTTGAAACGATGTCCTTAAAAAACCTCTAAAAAGTTCCCAGAAATTTCCCAAAAATTCCTTAAAGAAGTTAATTAAAAGTTATATATAATGAAAGAAAATATTGAAAGTTTAATGAACTTGATTTCAACTGGTATATCAAAACTTAACTAAATACTGGCTAAAGTATGGGAAAATTAGAAGAAGAAGATTAAAATCTTCACTCAATTCTGGCTATAATTGAGACTTTTGAAAAGAGTTGGCCCTTTAGTAAAAGGAAAGAATCCAGTATTGATTAATATACATATTTACAAATTTATTTACAATAAAAATTTACAAGATAATTTCTTTACTCTTCTATATCCTTCATTACCCTCCAGCTAAGGTTTAAGGTAATGTTATCATATCAAAAAGAGCCAAAAAATTATAAAGTAAAGTTAATGCCTGCCTTTTTAATATATAAATTAATAAATTTTGGTGGTACTTGGTTATCAACTTGAACATTAATTAGCTTTATTATTTCTTCCTTTAAATCGTCTATTTCAGTACATATATTTTTTATTCCGATAATTTGGCTATGAAACATGTTTTCTATTACTTTTCTAGAGATATTAGAGTTCCAATTAATTAGTTTAATAGTATGAAAATGGAAATTCCTTCTTTTATCATATAATTTAATTTTCCTGTGTTTAATAATTTGCAGGGCTAGGTATTCAATAGTATCTTGATTCGTATTCATTTTTATTAAGTGTTAAACTATTTGGGTAAATTTTGAATTGCTCAAAAGTAGAATTATTATTGAAAGTTATAATATCATCTATGTATCTAAAAATATGAGCAAATAGCTTTAATTCATTTTTATTTAAACTTAGTTGGAATTTATATTCAAAAGTAAAAAGAAATATGTTACAAATTTGTGTAGAACTGTTTTCTCCCATAGGAATTCCTCTAACTTGCTGAAAGATCTTATTATTGAATTTAATGTAGTTATTAAATAATGCACAATTCAGATAAGTATTCCATTTTTCAATACAAAGGATGTCAAGTATGTCAGGAAAAAGTTGTGGGAGTTGCATTAAACTAGTAAAAATTTATTCTAATGGTAGAGAAGTATAAAGGTTTTCAAAGTCATAGCAGCTAACGTTCTTGATTGTTAAAACTTTTAAAACTGCTGAGAACTGGTGCATTATTATAAATAATCCAACCATAATTGTGTTGTTTGTTAATGAGTTGTTGGATTAAATTACAGATTTTTTAAGTATAATTGCAAATATGTAATCTATATTCTTTTTATAATTATTTCTACCATTAGCAATAAATCTAAATTTGAGTGGCGATTTATGAAATTTTGGGAGAGCATATAGATTTGCTAATCTACTAGCTAGATGGTTGTGAAATTTGCAGTTTCTTATGAAATGCTTTTAGCTTTTTTGCAATAACATTTTCTTGTGTATTGGTGAGTTTGTAAGTAATGGCATTATTTAGTTCAGTATTAATTAATGAGACATAAAAAATTTTCATATTATGCTAAAATTATTACTGGCTTTGACAATTTTGGTGATTATGAACTTTTGTTTTAAATCCTGTAAAAGAGGAATGAGAATATTCCACTGTAAATTGCTATTAAATTCAATTCTTCGAATTCTTTGTTTGAATTCTTCTAATATTGCATGTTTCCAAGCCATAAAAGGTAGAATTTGGAATATTTAATTTGAAACTAGTTTTAACTATAAATTCGTCTATATTTTTTACGAAACTTTCAAAACTGTGATGTTTGTTAATTTTTAGAACTGGTCTAAATTTGGTACCTTTTTCCATTAAAATTCTTAAATGTAGGTTTTGAACTATTGCTAAATTGCCTGTAATAATATGTTGATGAAATTTATCTATGAAATCTTTGTATTGAAGCTCTTTGCAGTATCAATGGGCTGTAGAAGCTAATTCATGGTGGTTAATTAGCAATTTACTAAGAGGTATTTGATACTTGAAAGCTGGAGAGATCTGTATTGTAGTAGTTGGAAAAAGTTGTTGACTTTTTCTGAAAATTTTGCTAAACTGAATGTGATCATAGTTAGGATGAAGGAAATTGATTTTGCAGTAATATTTATTGTATTAGTTATTTGTACAGAACTTATAATTGCAAAAGTCAATAATAAGGTCTTTGATAATATTGTGCCCTGTAAAATGCTGTTTTACAAATTTTATAAGTAATTTTAAGAAATTGTGCTTACAAGTATGCAACCAAGTAATTATATTTTTAGTGAAATTTTCAGTAAGAAAGTAATTATTAATATTATCGTTTAACTTTTTTGTATCTATTGTTGAAAGAAGTTTATTTTTTTGTTTATTACCTGCTCTGGTTCCTCGTAATGTTTTTTTACTGAATAGTTTAAAATGGCTGTAAGTTGGAATTTCAGAATTTAATTTAATATGTTGGTTGAATGTATTGAGTCCATAAGGGTAAAGTGTTTTGAATTTAAGCATATAGAGTGTCTCTTGAAATAATCTAACTTTGTATCCAGGCACAATGTCCAAAATTTGAATATTAATTTTTTTGAAATCATGTATTTGAAAATGTTCTAATTCAGCTGTATTAAGTGTGTTAAAACTGGTAGTTGCAAATTTTTTAATGTGTGCTCTGTGGTTGTTAATTCTAATATTAAGACTATTTTTGGTTTGTCCAACATATTTAAGATTTCATGTGTTACAAGTGATTAGATAAATGCAATTATAAGTTTTTCGAAAGGGGAGTTGTTTAGTGGCTGTGATATTAAAAGGCATATTGCTAACTTTACAAGTAAGTCATTTGCTAGAATGACATTTTACTATCAAAGAAAAATTAGAGAAATTTTGAGGGCGATGTTCCTTTCGTCAATATATACCCAACAAACCCAGCGAAGTATGAAATCAAAATATTTGCCTTAGTAGATTCAAGAACTTTCTGCAATTATAAGATGGAGATATATGCAGGACAACAGTTGGAAGGTCCTTTTAGAGTTGAAAATTCACCATTTGAAATTACAAAACGCCTGTGCACTCCTTTGTTTGGGCAGAAATGTAACAATGGATAATTGGTATACAAAGTATTCTCTAGTAAAAGAACTTTTATCAAGAAGTTAACTATTAAAGGAACCCTGAACAGACACAAGGCTGAAATTCCCACCCACTTCATCGAAACAAAAACTAAGAACGTTTATTCTTCTATATTTGGGTTCTAAAAGAACGCGACACTAGTATCGTATATGCCTAAAAATCAAAATGTGTAGTTTTGTTATCTACAATGCATTGCGATGACGCCATTGATGAAAGTGATGATATGAAGAAACCAGAAATAATTTTCTTTTATAATGCAACAAAAGGTGGTGTAGACGAAGTTGATGAAATGTTATCATTATATTCAACAGCTTGAAAAACCAACAGATGGCCGATGGTTGTATTTTACTGTGTTGAACGTCACTGCAATAAATACCCGAGTTGCCTTATTCTAAACTAAGACCCCTCCCATACAATATCAAAATAGTAGACAATTCCTAAAAAATTTGGCTATATCTCTTATACAGCGCCTTACATAGAGATAAGAAAAAATATGTCAATGCTTCCTAAAGTGCTTCCTGAAAGCATCAATAATGCGACTCTAGTGTATCAGAAGAATGCCCATCAAAGAAACCAAAACTCGACAAAGGCCGACGTGCTATGTGTCCAAGACAATAAAACTACAATTTCTTGCAAAATATGTGATAATTTTTCATATAAAACTCATTCTTCCTATGTTTGCCAGAAGTGTATGTTAGCTTCTGACTCTGTTTAGGCATATACTTATTTTGAATGGAATTTTTTCTTAAATATTATAATATTAAATATATTGAAATAAGTTTTTTTTAAGTAAAGAAGTATAGTTTCTAAATGAAAATATTGCAATTATTGTTTATAATCAAATGGTTTCTATAAAATATATAACACATTTTCCTAATGAAACTGATTGGGGAGACGCAGTCACCTCGCCGAATCTCCAACGTCAATGTTAGGTGTGCGCCTTCTGCAGGGTTATGAGCATTACAACATCAAAAAGAAAATGAAAATACTCAGATGCATTATTTTTAAAATTATACAATCATAACATGAAAAAAATTACCATTTCAGATTCTCCACCTATCATTTCAACGGCAATACTTTCTTCAAGAATTGGTTCAGCTTCTTCTTCTAGCAAATAATTTGAAGGGGAAAAAAAGGTTTCTATGTTAAATTATTATCATAAACATAGATTATAAAATTTGAACATTAAAACTTACAACAGATCAGTATTATTGGTATTTGAATTAATAATAGAAATGAGAGCATGTCAAAACTGTATGTTTTATTTCAGTGGCGCCCAAACTCTAATTTGAAATGAGCCAATTTAGAATTCAAAAAAATTTCTTGAGCCTCAATTTTATATTGTACTTTTATTAACTCAATTAGAAACATGTATAATACACATACACATGCCATCCTCAAAGGGTTTTTTATAAAAATGTGTGGTATAATATGTTAAAAAAAGTGCAATATTTATTACAAGTCCAATAAGGTGGAAACTAAATGCAAGAAAAGCATATTTTAATGTGAAATCTGACACTATTTATCTTCTGCGAGTTTACTGTGCTCTAGTGCAATGCTGTACTGAACTATGGTTAAATTCATGCAATCATTTGGGTGTTCATTTGTTATCCTGAACCTGATCTTTGATTTTAAGAAGTTCATAGCTGAAAAACCACTTTCACACTGATAAACTGATCCAAAGCAGGAGTTTAACACCTTTAAAATGTTTCTTTTAAGTAAGGGTATTTTTTCTCATCTATAAGTATCCAATAGCCTGTTTGTGATATTCTTGTTTTTAATTGTAGATCAGAATGAAAATCAATTATTTCCATTTTGATATCAAAATATTTTTTATTTAACATATTTGCAATCTACTGTGATATTTTGGAAATATTAATATCAACAAATGGATTTGAAATGAATCAATGAGCTGAATTTTATGAAAATTAGAAAATTTAATTTGGAAATCTTTTTTAAGCTCAAAATGTTTTCAGAATATTAATTGTTTCAATTTTCTTATATTTCTTGATGCAGTTCTTTAAATTTGTAGATCTAAACGTTACATTCCCCTCATCTGTGGAAAACACCATATATTTTCCACAAATTTAATTTTGATTTACATGCATTTATACTTTCCATTAATTCAGTAATAGTCTTTCTTTACCCTGAAGTTTAAGATGTAGTTTGTTCCTTTTGGTTTTGTCTACAAGAAAGGCTAAATCAGATAATAAATTTGCAAGTTTCGTTTCTGGATTATAAAAATTGTTTTATCTCTGGAAGCAGCTCTAAAAATCATTTTAGAACTTCTCTTGAATTTCATAAGCCCTACTAAGTCATTTAAATTTCAGAATGTAACATTAAAATTCCATACTCAGCATCAATTTCATCGCTCAGTACTTTGAACAATCTATTATGAAGTGTTCTGGCACAAAATGTACAATATTTGAAACTGCATTCATCACATGTTCTTAATGTAAAACGTTTATATATAATGTGAGCTGATAATGATGCAGCGGTAGTTAAAAGAGTTTGGAAACACATCATTCTTAGATAATGTGATGAAACCATAAGCAGAATCAATCATGGCAGAGGTACTGTATGTTGTTTTAGATATCTTTAGAAGTGGAAGATTAATTTCAGTTATATGGTTTTTAATAGCCATTCCACATACATTGCTTTTCAGTATATCTTCCTTCACTGAGCAATTGTTAAAGACCTTCCTTACAAAAATATTTAATTATACTCGAGCTACACTGCAAATATTTGTTCAATGATCCCATTGTAAGCTTAATGTATTTCTGCAAATTATCTTTTACTTGTTTTCTGGCATTTTCAGACATAACATCTATTCTATGAGTGATGGAATTTCTGGATAATCGGACATCTCAGAGAGCTGACATAATTTCATTCTAATGTTTAGCTTCTTTGAAAAAAAAAAAGGAAAAAAAAAAAAAAAATCTCTGATGCAGCAAGCACTGCTTCTTTAATTATATTGCCATCCTCAAAGGGTTTTTTGTAAACTGTAAGTATATATGCAGCTTTAAATGATACAAACATAGTAACCTTCATTTCATTTGCAGATTCGTTAAACATAGATTCTTGGAACAAGGATGTGAACAAAAACACAGGATTCAGTTTAATTTGAAGCAACCTAACATGATGTCGGTGATGACATACGGCAATTTGACAGAAATGTTTTCACACAACATCTAGTAAAAAATAGCATGTCAGCTCAAAGCTCACTAGAGAAGATCTACCTACAGGCGGTTTTAAGTCAGCTGCACTTTTGACTGAGTGGCTAACTGAAATTCAACTTTTTTTTTTTTTTTTGGCTCTTGACTTCGCAAGGCAGAAAGGACCAGATGTGCAATGCAAGCCATATCAAAAGGTCGCACAAGCCACATGAGGCTTTGAAGCTAAGGGTTAGGTAGCCTTATTTAATTTTGAAAAGTTCTCTTGAATTTCATAGGCTGATTTTTATGAACCTCAGTTAAAAATTACACACATCCTATTTTATAATAACAGAATAGCTATATAATTGTATAAATTTAGTTATACAAGATGTCGTGAAAAAAGGCAAAATCTCTCTCTCCCTCTTTTTAATTATTATTTACCAGAGAATTGCAGTTCCAATTACAAAATTTTTAAAAACAAAGGTAGAAAACCTTACAAAAAGAGCTTCAATATTATGAATAGTAGGGTTCTGGGTAATTAAAAAAAATGGTCCCTATCGAGTAATATTTCCAATTTGTAAACTGCCCCCTACCAATTCACACAGAAGATTTGCTAACTGAGATATTCAAGTATGAATTAGCTGAGGTTATTTTTTCATGCTTACTATTAACAAAATTATTGTGAACAAATATAGAAAGCAGCTATAAAAATAACAGATGTTTATTTTGACAATTAATGGCTCTTTCTTGGTAGTTAAATTCAAACTTGGTTTCTTGAAAATATTTATTATGCACAGGTCTGAAAATAAACTAGTTCAAGTACAAAACTTTTCTAAATAATGAAGGCTTATGGAATGAATATTTTACTAACCTGAAATTTTACTTCACGTTGATTTATATATAAAATTTATATACTTTTTTCCCAATCCTAAAATTATATCATAATTTTCTACAAGCAGGTACAAAATATATTTTTCATTCAAGTGTGGCCTGAATAATTATCATTACTCTCCTCATAGAATGCCATTCATAATTAAATAAGTACAATGAGATTATCACTCAAATGTATCATGTGAGCGGTCTTACTTGATGTTTATACTCAGATAAACAGAAAAGCTTTGCTTCTTTAGTAGATATAGTAACTGTTTATACTCAGATAAACAGTTACTATATCTACTAAAGAAGCAAGAGCTTGATGATCCCTTTCACGTGATTTGTGATCTTGTTTTTTACCATTAATCTGCAAAACATTTTTAGATAGTTTCCCTAATGTAATTAAATGATGAAACCAAATATTGTAACTTTAAAAATTACTCACAAAACTTATATTCAAATCTACAGTAATTCATAGACTACAGCTTGATAACCCAAACATTCATTATCTAAATTCATTAAAATATATCTGGAGTTCTACTGTTTGAGAAATGGGACATACAGGTAGTGATTGAATTTTTTTTTAATCTTCCATTAATTCTTCCTCTAGTACTCAACAATTTAATGCTTGGACCTTTATGATTTTCTTGTAATCACTATTCAAGTATTTTACTCTGCCTCTCATTTTCTAGATTCGCTTTTTTGGTCAATCTATTTCAATATTTAGACTCAAAAATGTGCCATACAAGTGGAAATGAATTACCTGAATTACACTCGTGCAAAATTAAAAGAATTTGCCCATTATGTTGAATTTCTGAGAAACTAACAGACAGATTTTAGTGAAATTTGGTACAAATATATATTTATAACACAGAAGTCTGTCCTTCATAGGAGGCAACGGTGACCATCTGTTAGGGGCCTTCACTATAAAATGGTCACCACTTCTGCTCTTAGGAGTGGCCCACTGTCAAATAGGAAAGTGTCCGCCATTAGATTTTAAAAAAAAAGTACCACTTAAGAATCATTTTATGTACACATGATTATCAGTCACGCTTCCATTGCAGGGAATGCCCCAAATCCACATTATGATACTGAATTGAAAATGAGTCTTGTAAGAGATACAATATCCTCCCACAGCTAGACGAGTCTCGTAGTATGATGGCATACTGAACAGGTGGCAGTTTAGGAAACACTGTGGCAATTGATCCCTTTCTGCTGCAAGGCAATTTGCAACTCGGGAATGGTTCTCAGATGGGGATAGCACAATGAAATTGGCCTGCCAAGATTGTTTCAGACATGCTCTAATGGGTTAAGGTAAAGAGATCTGGCTGGCCAATTTATGCAGCGAATATCCTCACTTCTCAGGTAATCATCAAACAGCTGAGCCCTATGTGAACGAGAACTGTCATCCATTAACAGGACCCAGGAACAATTGCACTCCTGAAGAGTCAAACATGGGACTCTAAAATCTCCTCTCTATGTGTCACAGCAGTCAGAATGCTTTAGCAGGGTTCATAGCCACATTTTAGTTAAAAAAATAAGCACCTATAAGCACTTTTCGAGCACATTTTAAGAAAAATATAAGCACCTGTCTAATTACATTATGCATAACCTTAAAAATTAGACTTGTAATTTAAAATATGAGAAATGCGGTATTTATTAAGAGAGAATAAGCATTACCTCAACCATGGAAAATAATTACTCTTTTTTTTTTTTTTTTTATTTTTATTTAATTTTAAATAACAGTTCAATTTACAGAACTAGTTTACAATGAGAGGGAAAAAAAAACTATGCAGAACTAAACCATATTACAAGATTTAATGATGAAATTTCAGTTCAAAATAGAGAAAATAAATAATAATAAGGCATATTTATTGTATTCACTTGGAACCTAATAATAAATACAATTTATTTTTCCACTCATATTGATATTTAAATAATTTAAATCTAAATTCTGAACATTTTCTAAATTTTCATTGTATATCAGTTTTCCCTTAACAGATATTGCAAGCAAAGTAATTTAAGTAAAAAAGAGGAACATTTCTGAAATCAGAAGACAGAAATTTGCTTCATGCAGTTATCCTTTAACTATAAAAGCTTAACTAACCCGCATACTTGGAAATTGGCGAATATTCGGAGAGTCGAGCGTAACTTGAAAAGAGGAGGAGAGGGGGGGGGTGTAGACTGTAGCCGCTCGTTAAATTTTTCCGCTAAATAAATGCTTTTGACATTTCGATATGCGCATCATATAAAAATAAACCAACGGAACTGAAAAATATTCTGCTTAGCAAGCACAGTAAAACTCTTTTAAGTGTTCATAAATAAATCTCGGACAGAACATCAAAATTAATTATCTCTGCAAAATATCGCAAGTGTTATTGTGCAATTCTTCCCTACGTGATATTACACAATCAGAATCAACAGCTGCCGGTATTGGGAGAATAAAGAACTAAATAACTGGGGTGTTTTTCATTCTAATTTTCAACAGACGGCATTAAATTTCTGGAATAGAATCATTCTTCGCTTGGGTTGGTAGACCGCAGAACTTTTAGTCCTATTCAATCCAGATTGGAAAGTGACCAGAAAAAAAAAAAAAAAAAAAAAAAAAAAGTCCGTTGCTTGTTTTGCAGCGAACTGTAACAGTTTCAATATTCGAGATTTTGCGGAGAAAGGGTAGAACCTCTCAATCTTTGTACTGTATAATGTATTGGCCAAAAAAACAAAATTATTTTGACTACTCGATTACTTTCCCTTTATATAAGCCATTCCGAATATTATTCCTTAGAAAGCTAATCTGTGTTAAAACACAACCATTTTTGAAAGTTTACTATACTTCAGCAGTTACTGCAACTACGTTATTATAAACATTCATACATATGCTCATAATATAAGCATAACGATCATAATAAACACGAATATGAACTGACCAAGCAGACCGAGAATGCAAATTATTAAGATCTTGATAGAAATTCAAACGTGTGTAGTATTTGGGTGGGAGGAAAAGAATGCCGAACATACCGGAATTTTCTACTGTTTTCGCATTTCTTTGACCAATAGAACGATGGGCACCTGTCTGTACTCTTTGTGCACACCAAAGGTTATGTTAATGCAGAGCAAGGGGAAAAGCTACTTCCGGGAGTATGATTCACCATCTGACATTCTATATTAGGAAGAAAAGTTGTTTATTTATCTTCGGCTTTGGTACCGGGAAAAACAGCGCGTTCATTAAAAAAAAAAAAAAAAAAAGCAGTAAAAGCAAAAAATAAGCACTAAAAACAAAAAAATAAGGGCTTTAAAGAAAAAGTAAGCACCTATAAGGGCCTTTATATTTTATTTTCAAATATAAGGACTTATAAGCACTTATAAGGACCGCTACGAACCCTGTTTAGTCAAATACATGCAAGGCTGCACAGTCATCCAACTAATGCCTGCTCAACCCATTAAACTTCCACCACCATAATGTTTTCCTTGATGAGGGAGGGGTAGCATTCTGTTCCAAGCTCTCTTCGTATATGGGTATGCTGCTAATCAGTGTCCAGGCTGAAACTCGACTCATCTGTAAAAGGCACATGTTATCTGCAGCATGCTAAATGCACTCTCTTGTGTATTGCAGTGAGTGGTACGCAAACAGGGTTGTCTAGCATACAGCCATATCTCGTGATGCTTTTGACAACTGTTGATCATGAAGCTTGGGTTCCAGTAGCAGCATATAGCTTCTGTGAGAGCTGTGGATGCTGTAGCAGTCCTGTCTGGATGCATTGAAAGTGCCAAATTACGATCCTCATACATTCTTATAGATCTTGGTCAACCTTATCCAGGTCTTCTCGATATAGATACAGTGTACTGAAACTGTTTCCAGAAATTGCAGTTCATACTGGGCTTTACACTGAGCTCTATAACATATTGCAATTTGTAATTGGCCTGCTTCCAATCTACCGAAAATTCTCCATCTCATTCCACCATTCATACACTCGTGGCTACTCATTTTACCTGATACCTTATAAAATTTACCCAAGTCCCACACAAACACAGCAATACACACAGAAACGCAGCAAATATCATGAATGAGCACAAACACAAAAATTAATAAAAACACATTGTGTGCTTATATTCCCTCACAATCGCAGCTTCGCAGACAAACACAGGTATACTAAAGTATTCAACTCCGAATATTTGCATAATTCTTCTACAGCGTAATTAATACCTTTGGTTCAATACGTTTTGGAAAAATAAACATATTTCATAAATTCTTTTAATTTTGCACATGAGTGTATTCTCTGACCCACCCTGTTCAAATAACTGCATAATACAATAATTATTATTTTACAAACTTGTAATACAACAACTAACCTAGAACTTCGAGTTCTTCCATTAAATTTCCAAAAGGTGCTGGATCATCAGGTTCCTGCAGAGTTTTGGGTTGGCACCAAAAATTTTTTCTCCCTCTTGCTGCTGTACCTTTTATAAAAATCATAACTTTTACATCTTACATTCAAACATTTATCACAAATATTATTTGAACAAAATGAATGCAGAGTTTCAGCTTTACTGAAGGAATAAATCCGAAAAATACATATAAAATACAGAAAGTCATATGACTATTACCTGTATAAAATTTTTCATAAATAACACATTTCAAAAGTAAAGGTCATTTGAGGGGGTGAGAGGATAGAAAACAATTTTAATTACTTATTCCAAATCTGGATGTACCCATTTCATTTTTCTTTTATGTAACAATCGTGTTTTATGAGTACTTTTATTTAGAATGTGGCATAGGAAAAACAGCTACAAAAATGACTTCATTTCTATGCCACTGATGATCTTATGTAAGTATTTAACCCCTTCGCGCCGACTGTCACGTATACGTGCCAGCAACGAACACACTTACCTACCGGCCGACACGCAGGCGTGCCAGAGAATTGTTCCGTTCTCTACCGACTGTCACGTATTTGTGCCAGTACTTTGGAACGTTTTTCAAACTATAATTTCTGCCACAAGATGGCACTGTATACCCATATGGTTTCAGATACATGTAAATTAGACCTTCTACTCGAAATGAGAGAAGCATGACTCACATACACGTGTTTTTGATTACATAAACAAACAGGGAAATAAATGTTTCCGAATGGCGTGATTTATGACATCCCTTCAAATCGCACTTTATTCGCACGTGGTAGTTGTTTACTGTAAGTAGAGAAGTTTTATTTGCTCTAAAGCATTGGGTATTTCGGTTTGCAGTTCAGTTTTTAGAAAATAATTAGATCTTGTTAGACGTGAATTCTTTGTTTTTACCGTTGCAATGTCGAAGCGTCGAAAATGTTTAACAGAGCATGAAATAGCAGAAATGATACAAAATATTTCAGATATTGATTCTGAAATTCTGATATTCTGATATTGATTCTGAAAGATTAACTGAAAGACATTTTCCAAAACTTTGTTCAGAAGAGACTGATAAGAAAATGAGATGACGATGCTTCGTTTGTTCACATTCCCGGAAAAATGGTCCAAAACAGCAAATGAGTTATTACGAGTGCAAGGAATGTAACGTAGGACTGTGTGTAGATCCCTGTTTTCAAATTTTTCATACGAAAAGAGAATTTTAAGTAATATATTTAGTTTTCAGATGTATAATGTTAAAATTCATAAAATGGTGAGTAATTAAAATAAAATGTGTAAAATATGCATTTAAACAAGAAATAAGGTAATTAAAGTATATATATAAAAAATATTTATAAAGCATAAGCCGTTTAAATACTCTATAGAGAATTATTAAACAATGCGTTGATACTTCGGAAATTTCATGGATTTAGGCTTAGTAGCAAAAAAGCCCCCGGCTCTGGAGAGACGCTTGCGTAAGACACTGCCAGCCTCAGCAATAAGCGCGCGTTTTCGCTACCCGGCTCGAAGGGGTTAGCAAATAATAATTAAATCAAGTTCTTTCTCTTAATTGTGCAACCCTTCTGAATATAAGCTTTATATTCTATGCCAATATCAACAGTACACTTCCATCAGTCCTATGTTGGTGTTGATTCCAAGCAGTATCGATCCTATGCACCATTATTACATGATCATTAAATAAAATTTCAATTGCATTGATCTATGCCAGGGTTGATCATGTGCCCGCTTTGATTCTATACAATACAAATCCAAGCCCTTTTTGTAGTGAGACACAAACCTTTAGGATGAAGTACAACACTAGCACAGCTGCCATACTAGGAGGTTTTCATGCTGCATGACAATGTCATTTTAAAAGAATTCCAAATTGACTTGAATTCTTTTTATATTGTGACAATTTCAAGAACTGGCATGATGGCTTGCAGGCCATAATATTGAAAAATTGAAAGCTAAATTTGAAAGCCGATTTGACTCTCGGGCAAACCCTCCAAAATTAGGTATTATACCAACAAAAAACCACCCCCCGTTGGCTTCATACAATGTGGTATATAAAGAAGCCAAATGCAAGAAGTTCCACAGTTGCAGAAGAGTTGATAAAATCATGTGCTTTAGAAATAACAACAATTGTTCTAGGAAAGGGAGATTCAAACAAACTTAAATTAATGTTATTCACAGCCAAATCAGTGATTTGAGCTCAGACATTTGGGATCAAGTTGTAGCTGTTATTGGAGCTAGTTCCTTAAAAATCTATCTCCAGCTGGATGAAACAACTGATACTGCTAACATAAGGTCAATTCACTGCATTGGTGAGGTGTCTCTATGATGTTGCCATAATGGAAGATTTTCTGTTCTGTGAAGACATGAAAAAAACCACAAAAAAGATGTCTTCTAACATGTTGAAGGACTGCAAAATATGAGTTAGATATCCAAATTATTGGTTCTGTTTGTACTGATAATGGCCCTGCTATGCAAGAACATAAATCAGGAATTTTTCAGTATGTTTCATACTTTTCAAGCATCAAGATATTACTCTAGCATGAGTGTTCAGGAGCAAGATCCAACATGTGAATATATACTTGAAGGGAAACAGGATATGCTTTCAATACCATATGTAAACATGCAAGTCTTTCCATTTTTTATTATCAAGCACACAATGATTTTTCTATCCTTTTATCAATGATCTGCAAATCAGCATCGAAAATATTTAATTAATTTGTTGTGTTATATTCTCTTCACCTCCCCTAAAAAATTTCTAAAATATTTCTCCCAACTAATTAAAAAAAGGGGGGAGAAGAAATTTTTTGGTTGCAATCAACATACCGAAAACAAAATATGATTTCAGTTTTTACACTTCATTAGAAAGTATGCAATTCAAACAAAATGAATTTTTTATGCTGCTAAAGATTTTTCATTACATTTGAAGAAAGAGACTGAACAGAATGATATGAAAGAGCAAAACATAAGCAAAATCGTTTTAAGTGAATAATACTCTTTAAAATTAATAAAAATGCAGAAGCAAACAACAAATTATTGATATTTTTGGTTCAAAGTGATATAATAGATATTACTAATAAATAATTCCCCCTCCTAAAAACAAAAATCAAGACTTTTTTTTTCAAAGAAGTTAATAAAATATTTCTGTTGAATGACTGATATATACATATAGTAACACAGTAAAAAATATACCACACGAACAAAATTTGCCAGCATAAAATAGGGCATAATATTCAACTTTAGGGAAGTCACAAAAAATAAACAACTTACGAGATCCAAATCTTCTAAACATAGCTTCCACAGGTTCTTGAAGTGAAGCATATTGCTGTTACAAAAAGTAAATTTCAAGTAAATTATTGAAAAAAAAAATTGTCAATAATTACATTAGGAAAATTCTGAATGAATAAAATTACTCAGTTTAATTACAAGGAAACAATTATGATTCTTACCATGCAATTAAAATACAAACTGCATGTCTGTTTATTATAACATGACTAGTCACATAACAGCAACCATATTTATAACACTAACTCATATATTTATATTTAAATTTATATTATATTATATAGTTGCATTGCTTTTATATTAATAGTCCAACTTGAACTGCCTGAATTCCTAATCATTACAATCCTTCCTTCTCTCTCTCTCTCTCTCTATATATATATATATATGTTACCAGTAAAGTATGAAATGCTGGCATTCTATATAATGCCTAGGCATTGCATAGAATGCTAGACATCTTCAGGCAAAATATGAAGTATGAGAATTATAACATACTTTCCCTAGACATTGCATATAATACCTAGGCATTCTATAGAATGACAAATGCTATTTAGGCAAAATATAAAAAAAGGTCCTGATAAGGCTATTATATATATGATGTGTATTCCTAAAAAATACAAATGTTATTCTGAAAATAATGAGAATGCCATTAGAAAAAATTTATTCAAAATATGTAAGAAAAAATGAAGCTGTAAAAAAACAAATTTATGCCTTTCTTATGAAGGGAAACAAAATTTTCGTATAAAAAATAAGAGATTAAAGTTAACCTACTTGTTGCAACATGGTAGGCTTGAATGACACTTTGAATTACATTTCATATTTTGGCACTTTTTTTATACGTACATTTAACCAATCCTTGGCCACTTCCACTAGATTGAACAACTGCAACTAACCAGAAAGAAATTTTGTGGTCAGGAATATCTTCAATTCTAAGCAAGTTCTGAAGGCATAAAGTAAATTGTGATCTCTCATATATTTGTTTTATAATTCCTTCAGAGATTCCAAGTTGGTAAAAACCATCCTCTGTCATACTCATTACAACTGTCAACATATAGCACGAATCATCTCACTCTTTGTCGACATCAGGAGCAGGAACTCGCACACTGGCTTACCAAAGAAGCAGTGAGAATTTTTTTTCCCGAATTCATTTTGATGACTTGTATTTCCATAATGATTTTATAATTTTATTTTACCTGCAATAGCATTTTCAGTTTCCAAACAAAGGGTGCACAAAATATCCATTTCATCATCTTTATTAGCATGGCCACAGAAGGTATGAATTTTTATACAGTACTTTTTGCATGCAAGTGCATAACTTATTTCCTTTAGACACAGATAATGGGTATCAAAATCGGAAATCTCTTTAGTAAGCATGTCATCATCATGTTGGTTTAATCCACTATCAACTATAATCTCGTCCATGTTTTTTCAAACAGGCTCTTTTTCTTGCATAATCTAATTAGTTTCACCTTTTTCCATTGTTTGGATGCTTTCTATTACTTTTTCCAGCTGCTTCTCCATATTTATATACAAATCGGAGATGTATGTCATACCTTGCCGGTTTCTCATTTGGCATTCTATAGAATGCATAGGATGAAATATGAATCATTTCATACAATGCTGGCTACTTTTAGGCATTATATGCAATGCTGGATTTCAAACTTTGCTGGTAACATATATTTAAAAAAACTATTAACAATTATACATGTTTGTGTAGGTATATACATATACATATGTAACTATATTATGTATGTATGTATATATACATACACACACATATTATTAAGAAACTACTATGCTTTTGGGCATCCTGCATATAGTAAATAGGCCGCTGCAAAAAATTTATTATTTATGATTGATTGTACTTTGACTACCATATTTACTCGCACATTCCACCCCCTTACTCTTTTGGTATTATTCTAAAAATGTCTTAAATGCTCGCATAATTTTCCCCTTCCTCAAGGTGCTTAGAAAGCAAGCTCAGTAAATTTTAAATTGGATTCATTCATGCAGTAATGTTTTCATTTTACTAAATGATTTACTCATGGATTTTGGGTGCATAGACTATGAATGATAAAGCATAATAGTGAAAAGCTTTAAAAAAATGGATGCACTTAACTGTTTTGAAGACGATTGAACATAGAAAGCAGACTCAACACTAAAGAGGTCTACAATTTGATGCCTAAGAAGCAGCAGTAAACAACAGTTCCCCAAAGCACCGCAACATCACTGACATTGCAAACATGCTACACTGTGACCATTTGAATATCACAGCAACATTGTAGGTATGCTTAACATGTGCTTTTTGTGACATCACATTGCGATGCTCTTGTGATGTCCCACTCTGATGTTTATATATTGTTGTATTGTGGCATTAACTTGAAGCCACAATGTGACATTGTTGTGAAGTCACATTGTGACACTTATGCATAGTCAAGCTACAACATTGTAAACTTACATTGTGATGTTGTTGTGAAGACGCGCTACGACATTAGTTTAATTTTACATTGTGACTTTCATATAACATCATCAAGTGATATGAATGTAACATAATACAGTCGAATGAATGTAATGTCACTAAAGATGTGAATGAATGTCATGCAAGATTGGGTTACTTTTTAAATGACCAGTGTAAAGTTGTAGTACTCCTATTTTAGAGAGTTCTTTCAGTAAAACAGATAACTACAACAATGTTTTATTTATCTAATAAGAAGTTATACTCTTCAAGGTAAAAAATATTTCCATAATATTTGAAATTTTTAAATTACTAAAAGTATTCAGTACAATCGCGTGAAATTTTCTCATCGTATTAAGACTGTATCCCTTTATATAACTGTAATCCATTTATGAGTTATGAGATATCTGCATAAAACATAAAGTACCTGCAAATGCAGAATATATATGATCCAAAAGGGATTGTATGGTCATTTTCTAAGCACATAACATTGCAAATACTTTTGGGTATCATCTGTCCAGAAACAAAACTGCCACCTACCCTGTTTTTTTTTCTTTAGAATTTAATATTCAAAGATATTTCTTATTTTCATAAAATTTCTAAATTATATTAAAAATCTGAGTTCTTATTACAGCTTATTAAAAACTTAACTATATTTCTTAATTTAACAACTGTTTTCCCCCCTAAAAAGAAATGCTTAAGAAAAAATTCTATTTGACTTGCAACTTTATTTAACTGTTTAGCCTTTAAACTATTTTTTCCTCCATTTCTCTCTTCCTTAATTGCTTTTTTTTTTTCGGACAAAGAACTGAATTATTAGATTTGACAATTAGGTGAAAGGAAAGCCATTTTAGGACTATATTAATAGGACATTTACCTAACTGAACATTTTCTTGTACAGCAGAGTTTTGTTTTGAATAAAAACCTTTTGTAAATCAACACATTCTTTTCTCCAATCTTATTTTTCAAATTAGCAATTTGTTGCTTAATCTGTAATACTGAATGAACAATTAGTTATAGGTACAAAAATCAGTGGATCAGGTTCTGGAAACTAAATCAGAAAAATTTTAATTTAGTAATGAAAAGCATGCATTTTCTTTCACCATTATTTCTCCCCTAACAAACTACAGTTTTATGCAATATAAAATGTTTTTCTCCCATTACACAGCTTAAATATATATAAATAATGTATTAAGTAAAAATGCCATATAATTTGTTTCCTTAGCTGATTAATGTGAATCACTTATTTTAAATATTTTTGAATTTGTGAACATATTTTGCTACTCAATTAACAGTTAAAGTTTAAATTCAATACAGTTTTTCACAATTTATTTTGAAAAAGCATAAAAATTTGCATGAATTAATAATCCCAGTTCATAAAACAGTTATTGTTACTCAAGCTGTGAATTACGGAAAATCTGTATTACTCGCTTTTGAAAATATAAGCTGTGCTATAATATTCATGGAAATGCTTAAATACTACTTCTAGCTCATACAGTAAATTGAAAGATGCTCAGATGTTTATATAAACTTCAGAAGTTCCATATTTTAATCAACACATACAGTGAGTAAAACCTTTTTGTATACTGATGTGAATGATGGCAGTAAGATCTAATATATAATAACTAAAGCAAAATTTAAAAATTACTTTTAACAATATATTAAGAATGAAAAGATTAGCATCAAGAAAAATGACAGAGACGCATAAACTTTGTAGAGGCATGAGAAAATCAAGGAAGATTCTTTTCTATCCACTAATTTCTGACAAAATAAATTAAATCAGAATAACTTTTTTAACTTGGGCATTTGGAAATATTTCAATATGATTTTAGAGAGCAAAGGTGAGGATTTGGAAAACATGTTTGGAGATAAAGATGAAGTAACTTGGGATACATACATGCATGCATGCTGTTCTTCTCGTTTAACATAAGAATGAAATTACGTTTTCATTCTTATACAATAAGGGTTTAGAAGTTCCAGTTACCTTATAAGGTATTTCTCCCACTTCCCTAGCGTGCCTTCGCTGTGTAACGGTAGCACACTGGGCCAGTATTCCAGAAGTTCGTGGTTCGATTCCCAGCGAAGGCAGTTGTTAATTTTTCATCTCTCCAGCCTCCTAAAAAATCGTATTGACTCTACAAGTGGCGCCCAAACTAAAAGGGTTGTGGATGATGATTCTCCGCACCCAGGATTTGCGACTAGGTACCCTAAAACCCTAGTCGCCCTTTAAGAAGGAGAGTATATAAGGTATTTCTCCCACTTCCCTGGTAAACCTTCGCGGTGTAATGGTAGCATGCTGGGCTGTTATTCTAGAGGTCCGTGGTTCGATTCCTGGTGAAGGCGGTTGTTAATTTTTCATCTCTCCGACCTCCTAAAAAATCCTAATGACTCTACAACCTGAAATAAGATATTTAAAGTTATTCTAGTTAGGTGGATTGGTTATTATTTTTATGTTATCTGAAATTAGTTTCATTTCTGTATTATTTCAGTTTTTTACTTTGATTTAAATAATAGGAAAATATTATATTTTACAATGCATACTTATAAGAAATTGGAATCTGTGCAACACACAGTCATACCAGTTTTGCCAGAGTCAGGCACTTTACAGTAATTGGGGACGGGGTAAATACCGTATGAATATGGATTTAAAGGTAATAAAATATTTAGAAGAAGCAATTATGGTATCAGTTTCAGATTTTAAAGTCTTATGACATATCTCTGATGTTGGACAGGTGGACTTAATTTAAAGTATTCATTTGACTTTCTTTTTTAAAATCAGAAATTGTTTCAAACTGTAAAGTGCAAAAAAGGCATTAATCTATATTAGTATTGATTTTATTATTTAGTTACTAGACAGGAATTAAAAAAACATTCTGTTAGTAAAATTTTAATTGAAGAGAAATAGATCATACAATTTCTTTAAAATAAAAAAAATAGCTTTTTATTTATTTTTAGCACAATAAATATAAAAACACTTTTATGTTTTTCATTTTAGAATCTACACAGTTGAAACTTAATTTCATTTATTTTAGTTCAGATGGAAATTGGTTGTATTGATAAAAATAAAATTCCACAACATTATTTTGTTGGGAAAAAAAGGCATATTTTATATTGTTCAACGAGCAAAACATTATTTCATTCCTCAACTACACAAGTTTAAAGCTTTTGTGAAAGTAAAAAAATAGTCAAAATATAAAACTTTTTCTATTACCTTAAAAGAAATATTTACTTAACCTACAATAAAAGGCAGCACAGTTATCAGGAGTTTTCAAATAGTGGACTCAGTCTCCAGAAATTGGCTTTCTGCTTTATGCAAATGCCCAATAGAAATTTGTTTGTTTGAATGCAGCAAAGAATAGGTGGTCTATTCCAATAAAAATGAATTCCATCAAGTTATATTTTCCTTTAGCAATGTTCTTTTTACATGCTTGATGGTGGCAAAGACTTCTCTTTAACGAATCTATATTTTATAAGATCCAGATTTACATGTTATCACACAGAAATTTTAAACTCTTTTGTGAAAGATTCCTTGCTTAATTTTCCTGTGCTTTTTGAATACAACTTCAGAAATTAATATCCATCATTGTCCATTTTTGCAAATGATACATCGAAATAACATTAGATGTGATTAGGTTAGATAATTAAACTAGATGTAATTTTTAAATTTCTAAAAATCACAGTTTGCAAAAGTGAAATATATTCATTTATAATAAAATCAATACTCAGATAGAGTTTGTCACCGTGGTTTAAATATGCATTTTTATTTATAATAATTTTCATTATATTTATAAAGTTTTCTACAATATGTTAAATTTTGCTAAAATATAGTTTTAAATTCAAATTCTTTATAAAATAAAGTAACTTGCATTTTTTGGACATGAATTAATATTAATTTACAGTCTTTTATCGCAGGTGACATTTTAACTTCCTTTATAATATAAGTTTTAATGCAATGTAATTTCCTTCTTTTCATACTGTTATTGTTTAAAGAATTAATGTATATACTTAAAAATTTAATACCATTATTATATTCTTTTAATCTCTCAAATAAGAAATACTTTTGCATGGTCGGTGTTCGTGATTTTCTTACTAAGTTATGCGAATATGAGCCAGTTTCACTTAAGAAAAAAGGAGAGATAGAGAGGAGAGATAAAGAAAAGGAAGGGTCCTAAGAGGAAGTATGCCTCCACAAAGGCATCTCTCCTCTTAGGTAGGCAAGCCTGTTGGTGTTTTGCCATACTCAAATAACCTAACCCAAACTGTGAGATATTTTTCTATAACTGAATCTTTTAATAAAAAAATTGGGTTACTTTAACAGCACATATATTATATGAAAAGTAACAAGCCGTTTGCAAAATTATAATAATTACAAAACTCATTATATATAACTAAAAATGGCTATGGAAGTATGGCATTATTTATAATGCTATGGAAGTATGGCATCATTTGTGATGTGACACAAGATACCATACATGGAAGTAATTAACTAATTATGAAATTAATTTTGAAAAATAGCAGAGCATGATGCAAAGTACACCAATAAAAGGCATTAAATAAATTCCTTTTAATAGTAAAACAACAAAAATTGAATTACATCTATCAAATAAAAGTGACCACATAAATTAATTTTTTTAAGCAATGTGATATAAATGAGAGTTAGCTATTGCTGACACTGACAAAGTAAAATCAACAGTGTTTCATTAGCTTAAAGAACAGAAACTTGCAATAAAATTTAAAAATCAGTAATTCTGCAATTTGATGGTGGAGCAATCAGAAATTCTGAGAAGATTGCCAGTTTAAAAATAAGTCTATCATTTGAAACAAATAAATAATAATAATACTTTAAAAATTCATAAGTATTTTCATTTTAGGAAAAAATATAAATTAATAAAATCTTACAAATGGATTAGTAAGACGTCTGTTTGCTGTTTCAATGTTAGCTTCCATTTCTTCCCTAGATAGGGTGGTCTGTTGATCTACAATTAAATGTCGTCGTCTTCGAGCTCTGGGGCTTATAGTAACTGGTTTTAAAATAAATTCTCCATTTGTTTCTTCAAACAAAGCCTAAATAAAAAATTTATTAATCACAATTATCAATCCTATTTCCAGAGAATAAAAAAATATTTTTCTTTCAGTAAAAATCCTATACAATACACAGTCCAAAACCTAAACCACTTACCAAAAATAAATAAATAAAATAATAATAATAATAAATTCACACACACACCCTACAAAGTCTAGGAATGCAAACTACAAAAGGAAACAGGTGTGCCATAAAAGATACCTTTCTCTAAATTAACTGAAATGTCTGCATGACACTTTCAAAAAAGTTCATGGGTAGGGATCATACCTTGGCCAATAACAATGCACTAATTAATATTATGCTAATGTTGGTCAGGATCTTACTTTCAGTCCTTGAATGGCTGGAGGGAAGGTAGGGTTGGCACTATGTATTTTGCAGGCTGACGCAATCTCTGCGCCCTAAATTCTGCTGCTTGATGGTACTCTAAAATCTAAAATTTTTGCCACCTTTGATTTCTGCAAAGGTTGTAGCTGTCCTGTAGGGGTTAATACTTTTCTTTCTGACCTAAACGATAAACAAAGCCCCAGTGTTACCATGTTTACACAAATCATCTTACTAGGTTTAAACTGAAGATCTAAAATCCAGAAATATCCAAAGTTCTGATGATTCCAGATGTCAGACTTTGCACTATATTTTTTAATGTATAAGATCTATAGATAAAAAAAATTCCAAAATAATAAAATTAGATCTCTGAAAATATTTATAATACACACTTTAGTTTATAATGCAACAAAGGGATCAAAGATTTGCTCTCAAAGATTTGCTCAAAGACAACACTGGTGTGTACATGAGTATTAAATATTCATTCACAATTAAATTAGTTTCTGTAAAAAATTATGATATTTTGGAAGAAAGCTAAATATATGTTGTGGCTAGAAAAATTTAAGTCCATAAAGACGCTAAAAACCAAAATGGAAGAAAATATCCTACACAAAATATCATTTACTTCTGAGATAACAAATTGCCTAAATGCTCATTAACTGGAAAAGAGAGAGCATAAATAGGTTATGCAGAAATGCTTTCACACAGGATTTTCTAAAGGAAACTACCTTGTATTCATATAACTTATTGAGAAAACCATAAAAACCCATGCAAACAGCATGTTTATCAAAACTGAAATTCCTTGAGAAGTTGCCAACATCTTGGCCATATATGACCCAAGTTTGGTTTCAAGAAATATACATTAAAGAACTAAAGCAATCAACATCCAACCATTACATTTCATAAGATTAGCCTGAACGTGACTTCATGTTTAAAACCAAATACATATTTAAGCACAAGGATGCCATTTCCAGCATTCTTAACCATAAATTTTAAAAAAGTGCTATTTTTAAAATTTTTTGTTTCACATGCAAACTTTTATTTAAAATATATAGATTTACATTTATAGTAATAGAAAATTTTTAATAAAGGATGCATGGTAAACCACTACTTAAAAATTAGCATTTCAAGATTACTGCTCTTCTTACTGTCAATTACATTCCATGAACTAAATTTAAATTTTCATAATTCAAATGATGTAGCATTGACTGCTTATTAAATAAAGAGTTTCTGTTCAATTATTGCATTTTATGCATAATTAGAAAAAAAATGATGCAAACAATTCAGAGAAATTGCAGGAGGATGGCTTTACCAAACAGTTATGAAAAAAATCACACAACTTCTGATCAATTTACAGGATGAAAGTCATTGCAGTTTAAAAGAGTGTGAGAATGTTATATTATCACAGAACCTAAAATTTGAGATACTGGAATTTTTCACATTGTATAGCAATATGACTTCCAAAAAGCCTCCAAACTGATAAATCTGACTTGTAAAGTAACTTTATTCTCTTGATACCTGCACTATACACATTATTAAGCTACTATAACATCATTATGATGTACAATACATTAGTATTTAGTTCATTATTATAAATTTCATTTCACTTTAATATTTTTTAGATAATCTTATTCAAGTTTCTAATTCTTAAAAAATTTCATTTAAATAAAATCCCAAGAAGGGGGAAAAAAGTTTTATTTATTAAAATGCTAGTTGATATGCATACAGCTATGTGAATAAACCTAGTAATGTACCTTTTAAAGACTTAAAGCAAAATTATAACATACAATTATTTTTAAAATGCTCTGAGAACTTAGATTAATTCAAACTGAATAAAAATTAATGAGAAAAATTCACTGAAAATCACTGAAGCCAGTGAAATTTTCACAATTTAAATTCTTCCAAGATATGACAAATGTTGTATTTTATTTATTTATTTATTTCATTTATCAGCAAAATTTCTTTATAACATTTCTTTTTCTTTCAATGTTTTTATGCTAAGTTTTCCTACATATGCGTTTAAAAGAGAAGATCCAAATTATTTCCAATCGCAGTGCTGCAAAACTGGCCATGAGATCTTACCCTAATAATGAAACCAATGGATTCACTTTTTTCCTTTTCATCTTCATATCTTATGCAAAGAAGCCTCTTCTACTTTGGCAGTTATAAATTCGAAAGGAAGAAGACTGCAAAACCTCGAGAATGCTTTTGTTCTTAACTGTAAAGCCTGATACAACCATCTGTGCTTCAAACATCAATCCAAGTCTCATGATAGTTAAACAAAACTTTTTATAATGATTATGGTGAACTTTATTATTATGTTTATTAATTATGCTAATTTATAATAAACAAATAAGATCACTATTGGTGTTGGTGAACAAAAATTTAACTTCCTCCTGAAAGCATAAACCATTTAAATTTTAATTAATCAGATTTAAAACTCGAAGACGGTAAGATATGATAAATGAGTAATTCTGATTTTACTGGAAGGGTTAAAAAGACTCTAATATTTAAATTTTTTGAATGAAGACAAGCTTAAATTATTAAAACAACCAAGACTGGTATTTTCGTTAAGATGTAAAAATAACTCTCACATAATACTTTAAAAATCCTTCTCAGTGAAAGATTTTTTCCCCCATTTCTGAATTTAGTATATATGTCTTGACATTTTTTTAATTATAAATATGTAAAATAAAAAGCATCTTATTATAACCCCCCCAAAAAAATTATTCTTATTAGAAATAATCATGAAGCATATCTAAAAATAAAATGAAGTAATGGCTGTGTAGATTAATAATAATAACATTAATGTATTTAATAATTTATTTAATAGTAATAACTTATTTCATTAATAAAATAGTAATAAGAACTTATAAGAACTTATTTAGTTAAGATTAAAATGAACATACTCTAAGTCCTCAATAAACGACCCAAATTCCCCTTAAGTTCTTAAATTCATCATTTTCAAATTCTTTCAGCTTTTTGTGTCATTTGCTACTGACATCCATTTGATGCTTTTTAACTTTTTAAATGATTTCTTACAGAAACTGTCAGGTACAATATTCTCTACATAAATTTCACAAATAGTTTTATTTTTACAGAACTATTTTTGAAGGGGAGATACATACAGTCACATACATGTCTTTCCTTTTTTACTACTGTAAAAATTAGATTATCATGTTTAAAAGATGCTTCTAATTTTTCAGTTTTTATTGATTTTATTTGATTATGGAAAATTACTCGAGAGCTATCTGCCTAAGGAAAGCAGTGCATTCATGGAGGACTCTCTAAGAAAACTGGCTCATAAATATATTTAATATATATATATATATATATATATATATATATTATGCTACATATGGGGAAAACTATGAAAATGCACATGCTGTCAGCCTGTTTGCCAGAATTCAAATCTCAGAGTGAACTATCAATGTTTAGCAACTTTACCACTTAGCCGCTGTTAATTTTGGACTGTTCTTTGTTATCAAAAAGTTAATTATAAATATTTACTTAAAATACTATTTTAAATTATCAAATTAATTCAAAATTTTATTTATATAATTTAGGTTTAAGGTTAAAACATAATTAAAATAAGGCCATCCAACTGGGATAGTGGTTAACGACACTGACTGTTGTACCGAAGCACACAGATTCAAATCCCGGAGAAGGCATGGATGTTTGTAAATGTACAGTGTCTGTGTGACATGCGAGCTTTCTAAATATGCGGTGAATCCAAGGTCCTCTCGAAAGGTAGGTGGTAGAGGAAGAGGATGGGAGATCCTTGGACTCGTCCACCTGGGGTGCTCTCCATCAAAATTGGGAGCAGAATTTAGCAAAGTCATACTGTCACCTGTATGATGTTCAAGGCTTTTGCCATTGTCAGACGCAATCTTGCACTCTCTGCCACAATGAATTTCGTGGGCTTGTTCTGATATTTCTGTCATACAAGTGAGAAAAGTCACAACAGAACAATAACTAAAGTAAAGTCTTTGAGAGGGTTATTTTAAAGTAATAGGATACAGAACTGGATTTCACAAATATTTTATCTATAATGTATTCAATGACTACTACAATGTTTTATGAGGCTTAAGTATAAAGTTTATCATAATTGACTATCATGGCAGTAAATATATACCTAGACCTCATGAAAAAGAGTAAAAGGAAAAATAATTAAATACCCTTCTCCTCCTTGGAGCTGGAGATGTTAACTGCACTGTTGTATCCATAAACTGGTCAGTTTCTGCTGGTTTTCTAGGTGCTGTAGGCTCAGCCATATCTACAGGAATTTCTGGTGTCATCAACAAATGTGATACAGGTGCTTCACCTTCAATTGCAGGTTTCTCTTCACTTTTATGAAGAATAGGCATTGTATTTAGTAAAATTGTAATAATATATATAAAGTCAGAAAACAAGAAACTTTGGGTAAAATATAAATAGACTTACTTAAAAGCATTCTAAAGTCACTATAAATTACAGTTTTAAAGCATACATTTTATAAGAGAAAAATAGTCCTGAATTTAAAAAAAAATTTAGATGAAGAATTTTATACAAATCATATTACAAAATATTTGTACATTTAGGAAATGATGAATGATTTTATGATTCTTTGCTAAAGGAACTTTGATGCTCTTTTCATCTGCACATAAAGATTAATTGCTGCGTGTACGATAAAATACCACAGTAATGCCTTTAAGGCATTTGTATCTTAATCAGTAATTAATGTTTACAGAAATAAATACAGAATTCATATTTAATATGCTTTTTAAATTCAGTAGTATAAATTATACTACAAGATTTTGTCTTCCCTATTCCCCCAAGAAAATACAGAATAGCCATTCATTTTGAAACACAGCTTGATCTTACTAGATGTTACAGGAAAGAAACAGATTCATGTAACACATACATTAAGGAACAATCAAGTGTAACAGTGCATCGTGTTTACCTTCAACCAGGTGATATATATATATTTGATTATGTACTACCTGAAAATGATGTTTCCATCTAAAATTCTACAGTTAGCAAACAATATGTATTGATTTGCCTTTTACTGGCCAAAGAATACAAGATGATTGATATTTGTAGGATGATGCTTTCCATATACAAAGAAAACTGAATATGCAGCTACAGCTTTCATAGCATTCAGAGTGATTTAAGCTCATGTTAAACACTTTTGTAAACTTATTAACCCTGCCAAACTCTTACATGTGTTCTATTACAAAAATTACTATTATGTGCAGTTTTTATCAGAAGGATGGGCTAAGATAAAATGTTTCATCTACTTTCCATTGTCAGTATACTTACAAAAAATTTAAAGACTAAATAATAAATAAAAGGAAGAAAATTATTTATATTTTAAATTTAAAAATAATATACAAATGGTCCTTCACCATGAATACCTCAAATGTATGAATCCCACAGATGGCTTAAATAATACCATAGAATAGAATAAATGTAAAATACAATTATTTAATTTATGAATGGAGAATAACAATAAAATTTAATTATATCAGAATTTTCAACAAAATGAATGTAGGTTATTTTACCAATCCTAATATAGGCAAACTTTAAATAGATTATTAAAACTATAAAACAGAAAATGAATTTTCTTAACTCATTGTCAGCATTATTAAAAAAAAATAGTCATTTATACCCTGTGCTTCCCCCAAACACATTACATAGAAAATATGCAAATAATATTTAATATTCAAAGCAGAATATGCAGTGTCAAAATATTAATTCTAATAAGATTTTAAAAGAAATATCAAATAAATAATATATAGAAACATGAAACCTTGGTGACGGTTCTTGAAAAATTCCCATTTCAGGCAGATCAAGAATTCCCGGTACGTCTTCAAGCTCTCTTTGTGGCTGAATGCAGTAATATAAAATAATACCTGTACTTTTATTCACAATGCAAAATCATATGCAATACACACACACTGCATAGTGATAACATACTCCAAATATTCCACATTTAAGAGTGATGAAACATAATTATATAAATTATTATGAATATCCACACTGCAAAACTCTAACTAAATTTCTTGATTGCAGAATACTACCTCATTTTATTACATTTACAGATACTGAGAATTTTTTTACAAAATGATAGTTTGTGACTAACAATCCTGTAATAAGCAATATGGTCAACAACATTTTCCATGTCACACTTTTTTTCCCTATCACATTCTAGTAATTTTCACACCATGCAAAATTTACAAATTTTTTATTCACTAATTATATTAAAATTAGGCCAAATAATTCTTAGTACTTAGTGATTAAAATGTTAAATGCCTCTAAACAATAACATAATGATCCTGATAGGTATGTTAGGTGTGGTTCTTTTATAGTGAGGGAAAAAACCAGACAAAGTAAATATGTTTCTTTCACCTGAAAATGGAAGAAACTAATTTTTATACCTATATCATTATATTTATTTCATATGCAGCACTGTATAATTACTAATTAAATATTTCCATTATATATAATTTACCTAGTATTGTGTGCCAGCAATAATCTTTTTTTGACAATATATGTTCGTTTTCATGCAGGAAATGTTTAAATTGGAAATCATAATTTAAATACTATTCCTTACTTTTTGGTGTGTATGAGAAATGTGTGTGCCAATGATGAAAAATGTTTTATAGAAACAACAGAACAGAGAAAAACATCATCAAAGCTGCCCTAGCATTCAAGGACAGTTACCAATCTAGTGGATGTATTATTCATTTTGTACCAGAGGATATAACTTACAGTTTTGGATGGCATTTGTTAATAACCGGTTCAAGACAACTTTTAACTGATAAGTTTTCAACTGAAGAATTTTTTTAAATTTGAAATTATATTAGAAAATATATAATGATTAAATACTCTCAGTGTGACCTAAAAAGTTTGATCTTTCTTGCTCAAATACATTTTATGTTTTAATGTTTCACATAAAGTGAAAGATGATCAATAAAATTTTCTTATGTCATTGTACTTTTCTGCACAATGGGCATTTTTAATACACTATAAAAAAACTACTTGGGCTGTAACTTAAATTAATGCACGTTAATATAAAGAAAACTTAATAAATGCAAAATACTAATTAACATTCTGCATATAACAAACAGTTATACTCAGGATGTTCTGCATGGAAAGTAATTAAATTAATTAAATACCACTCCTCCAGGTAAAACAAAATAAGTATTTTTTCATATGTTTTAAAAACTAATTGATAAAATATAAAATTATTATTTTCATAATTCATAAACATTAGATTGTTGCAAATAAGAAAAGTATGATTTTCAGAAGGGCATTCATTTTAAGAGGAGAAATCATCATCTTATATTCAGATGTAATGGTAATTTAAAATTTAGAACATACCTCGAGGGTAGCTGCTGCTTCATCAGTGGAAGGCTCCAACATTGTTATATCCTCACGCCTTGCAAGATGAGCCCTTTCCAATTCTGAAAATTATTTTTAAAAGATGGTCATAAAATTTATGAAATTATGATCTTCAAAGTATTGTGTCTAGGCTAATTAAGAATTTTACTTACTTGTGACATAACATGATTCAAAAGCAGATCAAAGTTACTTATACACACATCCAATGTGGAAAATAATTTTATTAAGTATGACAAGTTTAAGGTTTGAAATATATCAGTCAACACTATGCATGATTGATTAGAATTTTGTCAACGTTTTGGTAGAAAATAATAACTGACTCAAAATAACTAATGGAATATTAATTTTAAAAATATATTCCTTATTACTAACTTATATTAATATAAGATAATCAAAGAAATTCTTGTCGATTTTGACGTTCCAATGATGAATTGTTAACAGAAAGAAACAAAATGACTTATGCTTGGAAAAGTAGAGGGTTAGATTTCCCAACCAGAGTTCTACAAATATTATTAATGGTTATGCAAAAAATAAGGAAATAACACATACATCATAAAAGATTTTTTTCCCTGATTCTGTACTGTACTCAGGAAACTTCTCTGGGGAAAGCACGTGTGACTGTGACAAGAGGACACCTGCTGCCAATGATAACTGAAAAGCATGTTTTGACTGTTTAGCTATACTTGGTTAGAATCATCAGATGTCATTAACATTTGTATGAATTTCTTTGATATTTGCATTACCAATTCAATTGTTAAAAAAATATTATTATTACAGTACTTTTCAAATTATCAGAACTCCAACTATCCAAATTGCTTTTAGAATTTAAGAAAAAAATTAAGACGGAAACATACTGCGATAAGCAAAGTAAATTTGAAATCTCATTGCATTTCGGTCCCCATTGATTCGGATAATATTTTGCTAATAAATCGCAAAATTGTTTGAAAATGCCTGGATGTTCAGAAGTTAGTGCTCAGGATACAGTAGAATGGATGATGTGTGATTCATCAGACCCTGAGCTTCAAATTTTAAATGATGACGAATTTATTGAAACTGTGAGAGAAGAAAGTGTTGAGGAAGATGATTTTAATGTCAAAGTTGAAGCAGACATGGGACCATCAGCTAGTAAAGTGTTTGATGGCCTTAAAACAGCATTGAAATGAATGGAGTGTTTTGAGTGTGACCACATGCAACTTCTCATTGTCAAGCGAATGCGTGACTCGGCTGCCCAAAAACTGGTGAAGGCAATTGACCGAGATGTTCAGCAAGCAGCGACTTTCAGCGCTTATAAGTACTGTACAGTACGGTATATAACATGTACATAAAAAGTGTTGCCTTTTCATTTTAATTAATTAAAATCTCTTTTTCTTTAAAATTAATTTTTTTCTCCCATTTTGAACAGACAGTACATACAGTAATTAATTAAAATGTACGTAGACCCTTTCTTCGCAAGAAATCCAATTATCCAAATTTTTTATTATCTGAATGGTGTTCGGTCCCAACTGATTCGGATAATTGAAATTCTACTGTATTATTATTTTTAAATAAGGAGATTAACTTATTCTTTAACAATTTTCAATAAACTGTACATTGGCATCACAAAGCTATATATGCAACATGAGTCTAACCAAGCACAGCCAAAGGCAGCTTTTCAATTCTCAAGGACTAGAAGCTGGTGTGACTATGTATGCATTAGTGAGGTAAGAAGCGTAGGATCATGTGGCTGGTTAAATGCAGTGTATTTTACTTTATTATTATTTAGCATATTTTATTTAATTTTACTGTTACTTTTACAACTCTTTTATTAGTATTTTAATGAAATTACAGTATTTTTTATTAATATTTTAAAGATAATGAAAGCTATTTATCAATGGGCTTTACATGGACTGTTGATCCAGAAAGTTGTGTTCCACGTTATCTCATTTGTGGTTTTTTTAAAAAAAATTGAATACAGCAATGGCTCGAAAATTAAACAAATATTTCATGACAAATCATAATAATAAGAAAAATAAAACTGTTGATTATTTTAAAACTCTCTTAAAATCTCAAAACAAACAGAGTACAGCTTTTGCATACACACTGATAGATAGTGAAAAGGCTCAGGAAGCAAGTTATTGGCAGCACAGCTTGTTGCATAGAAAAGAAAATGTCACACGGTTGGCGAGAATCTGATTATGCCCATATGCAAAATTATAGCAGGTAAAATATTGAAAGAAGATGCAGTAAGGAAAACTGAAAATATTCCACTTAAAAAAATACAGAAAATCAATGAATCGATGATATGTTACATGCTGTTGAAGGGGTGTTGTGTGATAGACTGAAAAATGACTATTTTTGAATTCAAGTGGATAAATCAACAGATTTAACCAACAAATGTTATATTCTAAAATTTGTAAGATTTGTTAATGAGGCAGAAATTCAAGAAAACTTCCTCTGCAGTTAGGAATTACTTTTCTTGGAAGAATTGTATTGGCATTTGTATGGTTGATGCTGCTTCCATAGTTAACTCTATAAAAGACTTTGTTTCTGTTGTAAAAGAAATGTCATGCTGTTTCCATGTGCTGTTTTATTCATAGAGAACTGCTGATGTCAAAATGTCTTGGTAATGAACAACAAAAGGTATTTGATGATGCTACAAAAATGGTAAACTTCATTACATGAAATCTATGCCACTCCAGAATTATTAAAAAGCTCAATCAAAACATGGATAAAGAGCAAACAAATCTGTTGTTAAACATTAAAATCTGGTGGTTAAGTAGAGGAAGAGGTTTTAAGAGTTTTTTGAGCTAAAGAATGAAATGCATGCACATTTTCAACAAAACAACAAACAAGATTTTACTAAATGCTTCGAGGATCGAATGAGGGTGCAGATGTTAGCTTATTTAACAGATATATTTCATCACTTGGTTCAACTGAATAATAAAGTCGCTGCAAGGGGGTGGAGAAAATATACCAACTTCAAATGATCTTCATGTCATTCTTGGATTTTTAAGAAAAATTAAATTTATGGAAAAATCATGTTGTAAAAAGGAATATTGATAGTATGTTTGAATTCCCAGCAGGACAAAAAGGTGAGTATGGCTACCAAAAAATTTCAAGTTTTATTGCATCCCACCTAGAAGAGCTGTTGAAGAAAACTGTTTATTATTTTCTATCCCTGTCAACAGAACTATATCACTGGGTGAGGAATCCATTTTCTCTCACTTTCGTTTATCCTCAGAACCTAACTTTAAAATAAGAAGAATTTGACTTAAAATCAGATGGTTCTTTTAAAATCAGATTTAATGACAGGGTTTGGGGCAAATTCTGGATATCCATTGAAAGTGAGTCTCCAACAATTCATAGGATAGCAATTAATATATTGCTGCAGATTTTAACATCATACATGTGTGAATGTTTAACAAGTATTAGGAGTAAAGATATGAATCGTCTCCTTTCTGTGAAAGATGAAATCCTTATATGTATACTGAAAATACGTATTTATTCAAATTCAATATTCAATATTTTATTCCAAAAAATAAACACTGATTTCACATTAACATTTTTTATTAATTGTTATACTAAAGGAATTTATTAATTATCTATATTTAGAATTATATTGATTCCTCGTAATTGCAGTTTTCTGTTTGTTTTGAATTAAACAACTAAAATGAAAGTAATTTTTGTTTCCATAAATGATTGTTAATAAAAATGTTATAAAAAATATTGTAAGACGCTCAGGTTCTCTAGAACAGTGGTGCGCAAACTTTTTTTGACTGTGACCCCTTTTGTAGAGAGAAAATTTTTGGTGACCCCTAGAGATAAATGTTCACAAATACGATGTATATTTCGCGCATTTCTTTCGTTTCATCGAATAAAAACATCATCATATCTGACTCATATTAATTTATTTATAATTTAAGAAAATACTTTTTGTATAACACAAAAATCAGTAAATTGTCCTTTAATGAGACGTATGTGGCTGCAAGTTTCTAATTATCTCATCGATGTTTGGATGTATGTTGCTAATTGCAATTCGCATATCATCTTCAGGGTTTAAACGCGAGCGGTATTTAGTTTTTATTGAAACTAGTTTGCTAAATCCAGTTTCACATAAATACGTTGATGCAAATTGTATTAACACACTGATGGCATTCTTGCATAAAACGGGATATTGTTTTACCACGGATAGCCAAAATTTTTGACAAGGCTGAGTCTTAAATTGATTTCGAAGAGTATAATCACTAATTAGATTTATCAATTGCTCTTTATAACTAATTTGAAGAGTTGAACTGCATATGTCAAAGGAAAATGGATCACGAATCCAACCGAAGATCGCTTTCAGGAAAAATCCTCGAATCTTCTCGAAAAATTTTCCTTTAACTTTTCAATGTAATTGGAAATGATGTTTTTAAATGTAAATATATCTGTATTATTTCCTTGATAAAATCGTTTTTTAAAGCAAGGGAACATGTCGGTGTTGTTTTTATTAAGTTTGCAGAGACTAAGCTTATCTTTAAAAGCTTGAATTTTACTGGCTGAAGTTATGATAGTTGAATTCTAACCCTGCAAGCTCAGATTTAAGTCGTTAAGTTTTTCGAAAATATCAACTAAATAGCTCAGCTTCCCTAGCCAAACTTCATTGATATAATAACTTGCCAATCTGTTTCTTTTCGATTAAAAACATGTACACTTCATTTCTCAAATCAAATATCCGTCGCAGTATTTTCCCACGTGAAAGCTATCTGACTTCGGTGTGTAACAGTAATCTCTCATACGTTGAACCCATCCTCATTGCAAAGTATTGAAAAGAGACGGCTGTTGTGGCTGTTGCATTTAATGTAGTTAATTGAACTAACAGCGTCTTGTAATATGTTGTGCAACTCTTCGTCCATTTCTTTTGCAACAAGAGCTTGCCGATGAATCATACAGTGATTAAATACAATATGAGGCGCCACCTTCTGAGTTAAGTCTCTGAGCCCTTTATTCGAACCTGTTAATGCTGCAGCACCATCAGTACAAACCGAAACACAGTTTGCCCAGGTAAGGGACTTTGTTTCAAAATATTCATTTATTACTTCGAATATTTTTTCTCCAGTTGTTTTTCCTTCCAAACTTTTGCAACATAAAAACGTTTCTGTTATATCTTCATTAAAAATAAACCTAACGTAAATAATTAGTTGTGACATTTTAGTAATATCGGTAGTCTCGTCCAGTTGTAAAGCAAATACAGATGAATTTTGTATGCGTTTTATGACTTCTGACTCGATATTTCGTGACGTTTCAGGAAACACTTTACAGTAAAACTGGCGAATTACCGCCAACAAGGCGCTATCTACGGAGTGAAAAACTTGCGTCTTCACACTTTACATACATTATGCATTACGGTCAAAGAAAGAGCGGACAGCATGAAATTGCAATTAAACAGTGAGTGACGGCACTTCACTCTTTATATGTACACTGTATGGTACGCAGCATGCAGGCAAAATGCATTTCATAAAAATTTGGCGACCCCCACAGGGGTCGCGACCCCTAGTTTGTGCACCACTGCTCTAGAATATGAATGCTGTCACAAGTTTTCCAGAGGAGTGAAATGGATGGCAAGCGCTGCATTAGAGTAAACATTAACTTGTAATACTATAGACATGTTGCACACACAGCCATCAAAGATTCTCCACAGTTAAAAAGAAATGGTATCAAAGCAGCTTATCTGCAACTGTTTCCTGTATCACTTTAAGGTGGACATGTCAGCAGCTGCATGAAGTCGTTTTGATAATACATCGGGATTTGTAAAGGATGCCATGAATGAACCCATCACCAGACACTGATTCCAGAAATCAGGTGTTGCAAAATGCCTATAGAGGGTGTTCTGCCTTCCTTATTTCTTTGAGTTTGGATTATAATTTTGATTTGTAACTAAATGTATAGAATGTTCCGCAAGAGAGCCACCGGCCCTAATAATTACTGGCGAGAGACCATTTATGCTCTATTTCAGTAACTTGTTAACAAATTAATTTATTGTTGTGTTTTTAGATGACACTTTTATCGTCTACTTTTTAAAACCTAAAACAATAAAAGAACTTAATTGACTTTGATGAAAATGACCTCTATAGGATTTGTTAAGGTGCACTGGTAATGGAATAGCCAGGACTTTTGGATTACTGAATCATGCCCACAGGGAAATAAAAGGTAGATTCTCATTTTATATTCATTGTTGATCCTTGGGTGTATTTCTATTATATAGTATTGCAGAGGAGCTTGATGAGCAGGATTTAAGATGATTACGAGCTTTTAATAGAAAGAAATAACAAATTGAAAGCTCTCAGTGGTGAAATCAAAACTTCTATTGCAGGTGATCAAATGAAAAAAGAGGTTATGGCAAGTCAGGAATCTAAAGCAAAATGTTTGAAATACTCGAGTAGAATATTACATTACCTTGAAAGCAAAACTAAGGTTGAGACGCCTTCAAGTAATTCACATAATCAAAATATGAATGTATCTTTAAGAGAAAATTTAAGAAATCAATGTTCAGTTAAACTACCAAAGTTACTAACTGAGAAATTTTCTGGAGATCCAAAATATTGGTAAAATTTTTGAAATAGTTTCAAAAGTATGATAGATAAAAACAAAAGCATTTCGAAAGTTGAAAAAATCATGTATCTTAAAACCTTTTTAACTGGTCAAGCTGCCAATGTTGTTTCAAGATTTGAATTATGTAATGATAATTATAACAACTGTGTAAAGAACCAAAAGATAGGTTCCGGAAAAGAGATATAAATATAAATTCCTTTCTGAATAAAATACTAAATTTAGGAATAAAACAATCTTCTAACATTTCAGCGTGACACAGAATTTATGATGAGCCTGAGATCTCTATTCAAAATTTAAAGGCAATAAATGTTACATCAGGCTTTTCTGGACAATTGTTAATGCCTATTTTACAACAAATATTGCTTCACGATCTATTTTAGAATTTAATACGCAAAGAGATGAAGGGAAACTGACATTTCTAAATTCATTTTATTCTTAAAGAAGGAGATCAAATGTCACAAAAAGTACTTTATTGGCTTGTGGTGAAAATAAAATGTTTACTAATTTTTATAAAAAACTAAATAAAAGACACAAAAGAAATACTCCACAGCTAGTGTATTTAACATTACAGTACAGTGAGTACACATCTTCTGTGAGAAACACCACAAATCTTTTAAATGCTGTAAAGGGGTTACTGAGAAAATAAATATTCTCATAGCATATAATCAATGTTTTAAATGTTTTAAGAAATTTCATTTGAGTCAATTTCTCAGAGATAAAAATATACATAGTAAATTTAACGGCAAAATCCTCAATCTATCTTTTTGAAAAATAATGAGGGAAAAATCAAACTTATGTAATTTATCTGAAAATGAATCAATTGCCCAAACTTGCTACCTGCTATCTCGAGGGAAGGGAGCTGAGAGCATCATGTCAAGTCTGCTATGGCAAAATGGACCAAGTTGGCTTCTCGAGCTTGAAAATTTGTGGCCTAAGAAACCAAACATGGAGGTAAATGAGGAAGAGATATCCGTGGAAAGGAGAAGCACACTCAATGTCCCGTAAGCTGCCACCAACAACAAGAAAATCGTGCAAAATTCTAATTTATTGCTCGATTTTAAGTAAGGTATACCTTATAACAGTGTGGATATGTAGATTTATTAACAAATCTAGTCCTGGATATGAAAGACTTTGTGAATCATTAATCACTTCTGAAATAATGAATGCAAAACAATACTGGATCAAAAACATTCAATTTCAATATTTCAAAAAGGAAATCCTTGATTTATCTCAAGGAAAGTCAGTTGACAAAGCATGCAACATTTACTCGATGAATCCTGAGCTCAATGAATACGGGCTTCTACAGTTAAAAGGCAGAATACAATTTGAGGACTGTCTGGAATCTGCCAAGCATCCATGAATACTACCGTCAGTATCAATCTGTTAATTTTCAATGCACATGAAAGGGTATTTCATTCCAGAGTGGACTACACTTTGACACACCTGCATGAAAAATTTTGAGTTGTCAAAGGCAGACAACAAATTAAATCCTTGTTGAGTAGCTACATGATTTGCAAACGATATAGTGTTCACCCCAGAGTTCAAGACATAGCTCCACTTCCTTTGGATCGAATTCTTCAGTCACCACCATTCGCTGTAACTGGATTGGACTATACAGAACCATTTTTCTCTAAAGAGAACAACAATAAACATTACCTTCCATCAGCATCTAGCACCTTTCTTTCAAGAATATGCAGGAATTCAAGAATATGCAGGAATTTCTTTCAAGAATATTTATTTTGAAGGAATAAAACAAAGAAACAGCACAGGAATTTGAAGAAACATTTTAAAATTTTATTAATTCCGAGTCTAATTTTACACAATTTTCATTACCATTAAAAAAGAGTGTGGAAACTTCAGAAAATCAGAAAATTTAAAAGTAGAAGTAATTTGTAAGATTTTTCTCCCTCCTTAAATGTGCCTTAACTGGAAGGTACATCTCCAGAGTAAATAAATCAGAAGCTCTAAAAAATCCCCTGGAGGGAATTCCCCTAGCTTTCAACTAGGAGGGAATTTTATAGTTTCAAGGTGGAGGGTGGTCAGCCTTTCCTTTACCTGTTAAGTATTTAGTTTTAGTTTATGAATATAAAAAACACTTTTTATTCAAGTTTTGGTATTTATCAACACTTTTGATACTTTTTCTTCTTTAATTTATAAAACACATTTTTAAAAAAATCTAAATTTAAATAATGTATAAGTAATTTTTGGATTTTGAAAAGGGGGAATGGTCATCCAGCAGTCGTGAAAGGATCCATGGGGCAAAAAAGATTGAGAATCACTAGTCCAGCTTGAGTTCCAGTGAGGGCCCTGTACATTTTTCACATCTCCTGCTCCAAAATAAAATGCCTAACGATCTCTAGTGTGGAGACCAAACTAAAAGTTGGTGGACAATAAATCACCACCATCCTGATTTAGCAACTGGATCTCTCCTCCCAAGTCACCATTTAATTGGTACAGAATGCATGGTTAATTTCTCTCTTTCTGCATACTTTCACGGTGCAATTGGAAAGTACACACACTTAGCAAATTGGATGGTCTGAGGTTTGAATGCTGGCGAGGACACTGCACAGTTTTTCATGTCTTTTGCTCTGAAATAGCATGTCTAATGATCTCTACAAATTAATTTATACTGTGGTATAAATCCTATTGATTGACCCTGTGGTATAAATCTTATTGATTGGCTCCCATTCATATTTGTCAGATATATTTTTGCAACAAATAATCTTTGTTTGTTAATGCTTTTTATATGTAAATAGTTTTTTATGCAGTTGAAAATTAATGTCTATGAAAAGAATCTGATTCGATGAGCATGTGCAATAATTTTCCTAATAATTTTTCTTCAAAATTACACACTTTATTAGAATTGAAACACCATTATGTGTCCAACTGTAGTAAGAATATTTATGTACAAAGATACTTTTTTGCTGTATGTGTTGAGGAAAAATTGAACAAGTAGAAAGAGAATGGGTCATCATAATTTATTCTCAATTCTTGTTGCACTTGAAAAGTTTTTATTACTTGTTTATTTTTAATTTAAGTTAAAAGCAAGTTATTTAATGTTAATTAAACATATAAGAATTATTTGAAATACATGCCAGGCTGGAAATTCAGTATTTCGACATCAGTACATTTCAATTATAAACTGTAACCAAGAGGAATTTTTTGCAGCCATCAACATTTAAATTTCAGACAGAAAATAAGTATAACTTTGAATAGTTTTCCCTTGCATTATCATTATTATTGTTTATGTATGCCCTAATAAATATTTAGTATGTGAAATTTAAAATTCAGATAAAAAATTTTTCATTTTTGTAAAAAAAAAAATTTAGTCCATTAGTTGTTTTCAGATCATGCATCCTGCATGTATGCAATCTGAGTTTCAGACTACTGCATTACACAGTATTCATTTAAAATCAAATGAAAAACAGTTGCTACCTTCTATATCAGGAGCACGATACTGTTCAGGATATCCAGGTGATACAACCCACTCATCAGTACTTCGTGGTGTAGTAATAGTAAAATACTCATAGGATGGGTATTCTACTCCATTGAAAGAAACCTCTTTAAGGCAACCAAACTCTGGTGGAACATTTTCCATATCTGGTTCCTTAAATGTAACTCGGAATTTGCTAAAAAGAGAGCGTTTTAATTTTAATTGTGAAGTCTATTTATTAAAAAAAATTCAGTTACAATCTGAACAATTCAAGTTATAGTTAACTAACTCAAATAATTTATCATTTATCCTTCAGTTGGAATAGTTACTGTACGCTTGAGTACATAAAATAAATCTCAAAGATAAACCATACTGATTGACAGATTAAAGTTTTAAAAAATTAGAGTATGCTACCTTTCAGTAAATGAAGCAGCAATCATAATTGTGGTAACCTATTTATTTAGCTTTATGAATGCCTATGTAATGCAAATAAATGGGTGCATGAATGGCTATGTAATGTAAATAAGACTGCGAATATGTGGAAGGAATACATATCAATCCAATAATCCTTTTCCTGAACTTTGTGACTTTTTAGGGGAGGAAGGGGAGTTACTGAAATACATTTCAATTTCTTTAACCCCTTCAAGCCGGATAGCGAAAATGCGCGCTTATAGCGGAGGCCGACAGTGTCTTCCGCGAGCGTCTCTCCAGGGCCGGGGGGTTTTTTGCTACTAAGCCTAAATCCATGAAATTTCCGAAGTATCAATGCATTGTTTAATAATGCTCTATAGAGTATTTAAATGGCTTATGCTTTATAGATAATTTTATATATATACTTTAATTACCTTATTTCTTGTTTAAATGCATATTTTACACATTTTATTTTAATTACTCACCATTTTATGACTTTTAACATTATACATCTGAAAACTAAATATATTACTTAAAATTCTCTTTTCGTATGAAAAATTTGAAAACAGGGATCTACACACAGTCCTACATTACATTCCTTGAACTCGTAATAACTCATTTGCCGTTTTGGAGGATTTTTTCCGGGAATGTGAACAAACGAAGCATCCTTGTCCTCATTTTCTTATCAGTCTCTCTTCTGAACAAAGTTTTGGAAAATGTCTTTCAGTTAATCTTTCAGAATCAATATCAGAATATCAGAATTTCAGAATCAATATCTGAAATATTTTGCATCATTTCTGCTATTTCATGCTCTGTTAAACATTTTCGACGCTTCGACATTGAAACGGTAAAAACAGAAAGTATTCACGTCTAACAAGATCTAATTATTTTTTAAAAACTGAACTGTAAACCGAAATACTCAACGCTTTAGCGAATATAAAACTTCTACTTACAATAAACAACTACCACGTGCGAATAAAGTGCGATTTAAAGATACGTCATAAATCATGCCATTCGGAAACATTTAGTTCCCCATTTGTTTATATAATCAAAAACACATGTATGTGAGTCATGCTTCTCTCATTTCGAGTAGAAGGTCTAATGTACATGTATCTGAAACCATATGGACATACAGTGCCATCTTGTGGCAGAAATTATAGTTTGAAAAACATTCCAAGGTACTGGCACAAATACGTGACAGTCGGTAGTAAACGCAACAATGCTCTGGTACGCCTGCGTGTCGGCCGGTAGATAAGTGTGTTCGTTGCTGGCACGTATACGTGACAGTCGGCGAGAAGGGGTTAACAACAGTAAATTTTAATAATTGATGGAAGATGCACATGGAAACGGAGTAAATGTGTCACTGCATATTTTACAGTAAAAAGCTTGATTACCTACTATTCAACTAATCAGAAAACTGAAGTAATCAGAATATTTTAGAAATTTTCGCCTTCTTCAAAAAACAAAATTGTGAAAATTATAAACGTAAAAGAACTATTAAGCGTATGTAGGACACTATCACCAACCATTATGATTTGGCAGCATAATGCATAAACATGTCACTACAATACAATTATAAGATTACAGCAATTACCTGTAGTCATGTGCATGCAGTAACATATTTGCAATGTTACACGATTTCAGCATAAAGAAAAGTGTGCATTAATGGAATTGACATACATGACTTCATTTGAAATTGGATAAACAATGACAATACAGTGTGAAAAACTATGATGAAAGACTTAATTTTTTATATACTATATTCATAACTCGATGGGTTGATTAGCTAAATACAAAATTTTCTGTTCATTAAACTTTTGCTGGGATGATTGGCACAAGTTTGGTGGCATTACTACCAGATTTCAGTGCCAATGGGATTCCAAAACCGGATAAGATGTTGTATTCTCAGATGTTAAAAGGCTACAAAATATGCCGATGTTTTTGTCTAAACGCTTTTGTCTAAAATGTGTCCCCCGAGAAAAGAAACTTACTTAATTTTAAATTTAGGCTTTTGGTATTTAAATTAATAACAAATAAGATGACTACTCTTATAATTTAAGATCAGAAATTTCTTATTCTATTTATTTGGCTCTTCTACTGTACTTTACATTATTTTTATATGTTCAACAATGCGTAATTTTCAATTATCTGCCACTTGACATTTCATGAGCATTCCACATTAAACAGCTTACACTAAACCTGAAGTTTTTTCAAAATAAAAAGTAATAGTAGGCTTTAAAAAAATCCCTTTCCCTTATTAATTATATCTTACACTTTATAAAACATCAATGATTTAAAGAAGTCATTCTTAAAATGTAAATTACAAAAAATTTGAAGACACAGTTGACCCTTTACTACTGTTGAGACTAGAGTTACAAATCTCTTGTACGGACAGAAAACAGGACATAACTTTCAATTCCTCCAAAAACATGATCATTGTTAGCTTTACAGTTTATAAGAAGCTTTATTAAAAATATATAAATAGCAAATGGATATATATGCAGTATTTTATGCATATTATGTGCTGCATTTTTAGAATAAAATGCATTTTCAATATATGGCTAAGCTATATTTATTTATACAAAGGGTGTTTGCAAATTTTTAAAATGTTTTTGGTAATTTTTTTTTAATGTTTTGCAATACATTTTCCAGCAGCAGTTTATTACTTGAAATGAGAAATATCGAGCTATTTTTAAACTTATTCTTTATTCAAAATATGGCATGTAAATAAGCTGCAGGCTGATGGATATTTTTTGCACTTTCTGAGGAGAAATAGTATTCCATTTGCATAATTAAAAAATGTTGTGAAATGCATGGTATTGAAATCTGAAGTACAAAATAAACAACATTATTAATTAGAAAGTGGAAAACCATAAATCATTACTTCTACATAAAATGAAGACTCCAAATGAATACAAAAAAAAGGTACCAACTGTCTGTAATGTTTCTAAAGTTAAATCACTGATAACAAAAGAAAAAATCCACCAATGCAGAAATCACTTGCAAAGTATTTAAATACATCTGTAGTGACAATAAATAAAATAATAAACCAAGATTTACAAGTTAGAAAGCTAATATGCATAATGTTCACCAGCTTTTGCCAAGGTATGTGGCTCATTGCAGAACAATTTGTAGAATCCTGTATGAAAACTATTCAGCAGGAGATAAATGGAAATACATCGTGACTCTTGATGAAACATAGGTTTACCTAAATTACTGAACAAAAAAGGGCCTATTTATTATTCAAAAAATGCTTTATTCCATTGCTGCAAAAAAAGCTTCAATAGCAGGTTTATGATGCAGGATTTCCTTGCAGTGGAAAATTAAAACAAGAAAAGTGTGGGAGGGGATGTTAATATCAACTCAACATGCTATTAAGAGAAAGTTTTATATCTGATAATTATAGAAGTTCCATTTCTTTATCCCAATAACTTTCAAAGAGTAAAACTTAATGAAGGCAAAGCAACAAGTCATACTTCGTAAAGTACCACTGCATTTCTAAAAAAAATGAAGAATGATACAGGTACCGCACATATACCTTTTCAACCAGTGGCGTAGCTAGGGTGGGGCAAGGGAGGACATCTGTTCCTGGGCGAAGCATCCAAGGGGGCTAAATTGATGCTACTAAATTTTTTAATGAAATGTTTTCCATTCTTGGCCCACAGAAAGAGGTGCAAATTCTTTAGTTGTCCCCTGGCACTGGAAATTATAGCTACGATCCTGTTTTCAACATGTTCCTGCAAAGTCCCCTGGCATTACACTACAGTGCTTTGATCTTTTAAAAAGAGTTTTTTTTAAGAACAAACCTACCACATTTGTTGGACTCCGGAAAATAGTGGAAGAGGAATGGAAATCTATATCACTGGACATTTTATGAAAAGCCCTACTATCATGGTATTTGCAAAATACACTTACAGTCCAGAAAAAGAATATCAGATTGAATATTAAAGAATAATAATCTCTACATTTTCAACATTAATTAAATCATCCAGAAATATTCTTAAGCCGCTCAACCGGTATAGTGGTTAGTGTTGCTGACTGCCGTGTCGAAGAGCCCGAGTTCGAATGCCGGAGAAGGCATGAATGTTTGTAAATGTATAGTGTCAGTGCAGCACTCTAAATATGTGGCGAGCCAAAAGTCCTCTTGTATGGTTTTGTGGAAGGGAAAAGGGGTGAGAGACCCTGGGACCTTCACCCCCCCCTGGTGCTTTCCATCAAAATTGTGGTTGGAACTGAGCCAAATTGCAATGTCACCTGTTAGGTGCTCAAGGCTGTTGCCAACGGCAGACATGATCTTGCCTGCCTTATCAGGAATTTCATGGGCTTGGGCTGACTGTGTCAAACAAGTGAGCATAAGCAACAACAAAAGAATTATTCTTATAACATGTAAACATCCTCTGTTAAATGATATGGCAAATTTAAACTGTTTTTATTATTCAAAACACAGTAGATACTATGCACATGACTAACAGTAAGCACTTAAAATTAATAGAAATTATTTACAGTGCATGAAACATTCTTGACAAAAACGAATTCATTCCTAAATCCTTGCCTTGGTCTATGGAGGTTTCTAGCTTTAAATCAATTACTGGGTATGTTACAAAAACATTTAAATCGCACAAAAGTGAAATAAGCTGCTATTTGTTTCTTATGTTAACAGGTTGTATGGATTAAGATTATAGAAAAGATTGCCTTAAAATTATTAGCCCAACAGAGCTATTAATCTCGAAATGTCATTTTGTGTTGCTTTACTTTTCATTCGAGACTTATGCCATTTGGCAAAATGTAAGATATTTATCTTTCAAATTTGATATACCTGCTAATGCTGAAAAAAACTAATCTATTTAAAAGCAATAATAAATAGATGTTGTTCTTAAGAAATTATTTGTTTATTTTTTAAACTGATTCATTTAAATAATAATGCATTTAATTCACAAGCTACCTAATTTTTTTTTTCAGTTTTAAGATATACAGAAGATATATAATGTTCTCCTGATAGTTGAAATGTATATTCATCTAGGTGTTGAGCTTGTCAAGTTGACAATGATTTATATTTAACATAAATCTGATTTTAACTTTTTTTTTATTTTTCATAAGCATTACTTGATATTCAAAAATATGTATAACTCAATTTACAACAATTTTAATGGTGGCTTAGAAGAGGCCTTCTAAGCCACCATTAAAATCTGAAAAACAAACCCTTTTTTTTTAATTATTATTACTACTTTTCTGCTTTATTTTTATTTACCATTTATTTATTTTATTTACATATTTACTTTGCATTTATTTATTTACTGTTGTTATCCTTATTAAAGATTAAATTTTTGACAATTTCTTGCAGGCTAATTCTGAATTTAATGACTTTTTTTCTGTTGAGCTACTTATCAACTAATTGCAGAGATGTTGGTGATGGGCATAAGATTAAAAAGAGGATTATAAAGAGTTTTTAGTTTTTCTTGATATAAAAGTACCCATCGAGGAAATTTATCTTGAGGCAGATTACATATAAGTTCCAAAGGGTTAATATTAAGATTAAAAATTTAAAAAAAAACATTAAAACATTTTAAAATTAAAAATATAACATTTCATAACAAAAAAAAAAAGGACTTATAGAATGTGTCCTATAAAGTGTAAACTTATGCTCAGTTTGAGAGTTGGTGGATATTTGAACAAATTTTAAAGCAGGTTCAACACAGAAATTTCAAAGAGCTGAAAAATTCACATAAATTTATCATCAAAATAGATTTTTAAATAGCAAAGACTTAAAATACAATAGGAATTTTTTTTATTAAATTTTACCTTAAACATTTGTCAGGTAGGTCAATGTCCAACACTTTCTTTTTCCCGAACTCTGCCATCATACTAACAAGAGCTTTAATTTCTTCTGCAATGATTAAAAATATTTTTAAAAAATGCATTAATTTCAGAGAAAACTTTAGCTAATTCTTTTGGTAGCAAAAAATAAACTTTACACATTCCATATATATTTTTATAAATTCTTTTAAACTTAATAACTTTATAAGAAGTGTACAATGTTTATGACTGTTATTTAGATCAATGAAAAACTAAGAACATGTGAAGAAATTAACAATAACCTTAATTTTGCTTGGGCCAGAAGGAGCAAGAAATTTATGTTGTAAATTTCCTCTTGTTTGCCTTGTATAGTGAAATAGTGAAATAACCTATCCTAGCCAAAGATAATATGATGAGCTTTGAAGAAGAATAATCATAGTCTATGAATAATCCCCTAGCTGGATTCTTTTTAGGGGGTATCCAGTCATGAAAAGATATTTCAGTTCTTGACTTTTACTTGCACCTGCATGTAGTGCTTCAATCTATATTCATATTTTGACATGTATTCTAGAGTATTAAATCAGAAAAGAACACCAATATTAAAAAAAATTACATATTCCAGAATATCTATTGCTACAAATTTTGCATGTGATGCAGAACTTGTACTTCAAGACAGGAGTAGTAATTTACTACAGTCAAAAGTCTTTAATCCAGACGTCCATAATCCGGAATGATCTATAATCCAGACCTCAAAGCTACAAACTTTCTGTGCACACGTAATACCTTTACGCATGTGGGTTTAATGCATAACAGACGGTATAAGCTAAGCTAAAATTATCTAATTATCTAAGCTAAAATTATCTAATTATCTATTTCAGTTAAGGTTGCAGAATGCGTTGTTCCTTAATCTTCTAATTGGATCTGGCTTATTATTTCTTGCAGACTGTTAGAGCAATTTTATAAAAGTAAGCTTGAACTTTCGATTATGTCAAATAGAATCACTGATATATATTTACTAATCCGATTCTGGAGCTTACCAAAGGATCTACAAAGCGAAAGCATGTTTTGATGTCCATCAAACAAAAAGTGGAATTAGCTTTGCAAAAAATTAGATAAAGGCATATTCCATTTTGTTTCTCTAGCCATTCTGAAATCTGTTTATCAATTTCACGCTGCTCTGCGGGGGGAGGGGAGGCGTTGCGGAACGCGATGAACTGGAAGTTGATATGTCAGCACAATCCTTATCTTCAGAGCAGATGTTTTTATTTTATTCGGCTTATAATTCCTTACTAAATGTAGTATTTCATCTCGAAGCACTCCGTCTTTGATGCGATTTAAATCAAATTCGAATACACATCAAATAGTTTTCTGGTAGCAATTTTCTAATTTCGACTATACGTAATGTATGCTTTGCGCACGCGCGCGTTGAAAGAAATGTTTAATAAAGTAAACAAATAAATATTAAGCTTTTTTTTTTGTTTTGTTTTTTGTAAATTTTGATACCTTTTAGATCATAATTGCCCTTTATTTCATCAATTACGTTTTCATATTTTTAATTTTATAATTTCTGCATGCCATTTTACCAGATTTAAATTGATGATCTATAATCCGGAAAAACTGATAATCCGGAATCGCCGAAGTCCCGACGAGTTCGGATTAAAGACTTTTGACTGTATTTAAATTTTACAATACAGTTCTTAAATTAATTATCAAATTAAACGAGTTTGTTTCATTTATCATTAATCAATATAATTTCAGTTCATAAATTACTAAAATTTTATTGAGTTATTACTTTTGGTACAGCAAGTTTTGTATTTTAAAAAACTACATAATTTTAACTAATCAGTTATTTTTTTAAATTTTGCTGTCAAACCAACTTACTCAGTTTTGGAAAATTCAATTTAAACAGGCCTAAAGTAAAAATAGAAGATATTGCAATGTTAAAAATTTAGTTTTTTTACATATAATAATAAAATAATTTAAAAAAATTATTAATATTCCTTATAATTTAAAAAATTGTTTTCTGTATATTTTTATTAAATATTTTTATGTGTCATTAGTACAAATAGGAATAAACCTCATTTGAATAATTCTCAGTAAATATTTATTTAGAAATTTAAGGTTAAAAACATTCAATTTGGCATTTCAATGAAGATTTTTAAAAAGTGCATAAAACACATTTGGTGTTGTTACAATTTAGAACAAAAATGCCAAATTATAAATTCACTTATATCTTTGGATTTTTTTAATAAAAATATCTACTTCTCGCCCAGATATGTCTTGAAATATATCTACTTTAAAATGACGTAACAAGTTTTATAAAAACTTTGGATTTTTACAAAGCTTTGCACTTTGGCATAATTTGAGCCATAGAATTGAAATATGGAAAAAATCAGCATGTAATTGGTAGGTCTGATTTGGTGTCAAAAGAGGTATGTTAGAATAATGCTATATATAAATCTAGATATATATCCTAAGTTGCACTTTCGAGACAGAGAAAATGCAAACTGAAATTTGTTGATTGGTCAACTAGAACAGAAACTATATATAAAAAAGGAGGGACAGTTATATACTATCCCCCTTTTTTTGGCATCTAGTGCAAATGGAATCTTGAATGCTATGAATATAGTACATACATTCATATCTTAAAGGCTTTTTAAAAATTTTCTTTGTGCTTTTTTTTTTGGGGGGGGGGGGATACTCATTAACCATCAATTCTAGAAAAGTCGTTCTGTCTAAAACACAAAAATATACTAGTAAAAATATTAAGATTAGTCATGAAGCAGAAAATGATAAATTAATCAATAATTATTATATATAACTCATATGCATTTTAAATAAAATAGGTATAAATTTTATCAATGTCACAGCAATAAAAATATTAAAAGTTAATTTAATACAAAATAATGTATGGGTGAAGAAAATACTTACCCAGCAGAAAGTTAAATTGTCTGTTGTTAATAAAAACTAGGCCATACATAAGCTGTGAAGATACTAATAAAGATAAATAAGCTCTTCTTTGTCCTTCAAAATAAATCCTTCCATGTATGATATTAAGTATGTCTTCACTGAAGGATATAATATTTATAATAAATCATAAAAAATGCTGCATATGCAAACAAAAATTAGAAAAACATAATTATAAATTTTTAAATTACAGCACTTTTCCAAACAGCAAATCTTTTTAGATACTTACCATGACTTAGCAACATTTACACCACAAACTTCCTTTTTTTTCAATCTTTTTACAGCTGTCGCTGCTAGCCTATAAGAGCAAGTTTTAAAATTCTAAAGTGTTGTATATATTACATAAAACAAATTCTGCTAACTGCAAAATGGAATAAAGTATCTTTAAGAATAACTAATGCTGGCATTTAAAATTATAGAATAACATTTCTTTGTATTATAATAAACTATAATAAAGCAGTATAATTCAATACATTTTTATAGTGTCAATTCAAATACACGATGAAATTTGGAGGGGGGAAAAAACTGGGGTACTTTTTGGTGGGCCAAAATGTGGTCAAACTGTATTGTTTTTGGCATATTTTGAAGCAGAGCCAAATTAACATTTTTAAAGTCCCTAAGCACTTAAAAAGATTTTGGTGTCCCCCCCACACACATATATTAGTGCTTATTCTCCCCCGCCTTTCACAATGTTGGTTTAGTTGCACCATATTTTTAGGTACTTTTCTTTTATCGGAATATCTGAGAATGCAGATAATCAGAAATTACCAAAACTGATTAAGATGAACCTATGCAGAATGCATTATGAAACTTAAGGCACATCAGAGTTGTATCTACTAGTAAGTATACAAAAAGATATACATCTGTGTAAAGCTTCTAGATGTTTGAGAATGGCAAGTTTTTATAATTAGAAAAAAAGTTTTATTGCAGTCTGATGGTTCAAGTTTGTAAAATGAGCTATAGCATTTTAAAAGTAAAGGCAAAGTTTAGAATTTCATATATGATTACTTCAAAAGTATACCCTGATTATAAGAATTCCTGCAAAACTTTGAAAATATTTTGGAAATCAAATATAACATAACAAATACAGATAATTTTCATGGAATTTTTTCTGATCCTTGTTATGGGGCACATAATGATAAAAATATTAAAAACTAGACTGCTTAACTGTGACTCATGACATACATTTCGGCACTCATTTTTGCTCATGACATACATTTTGGCGAAAACTACCTAAGCTATATAAAAAAATTTCCATTATGATTCCAACTTTGGATGAACTTTCTTTAATAATTAAATTATAAAGTGAAATTGATTTAATACAACAAAATAATTCAATTTTAAAATGAAATTTAGTTGATTATATGAAACTGTGGTCTAATATCTAGCGAACAGTAACAATTCTACATAATTTTTCCAATATTTACAACAGTTGCATTGTCCATTTCTTAATGGTTTCCTGGTGTATTTTTCATTTGGGGAGGGGGTTGCTTTTTAATCATGAAGGTTCCCACCTTCAATTTTCTTACTCTTACATTGTATATATATATATATATATATATATGTTATAAAGTCTTGATTTTGTAAATACATAGCTGATTTTCCTTTTTTTTCACATTGTTTCTTCCTTTATTTTTTGAAATAATGGAAATTTTTGAATTTTTGGTTTATTGCCATGTCGTGCTAAGCTATTTAGATGTGCTAAATATAGGAAAAAATTGGTATATCATATAAGAATGAACTGATTTTTTGGGTCAGTGTATTATATCTATGTTAGAACAATGCTATATATAAATCTAATGTACGTTCTTAAGATGCACTTTTGAGCTATGAAAAACGCAAGTTGAATTTTGTCAATCAGCTAACTAGAATGGGAGATACAAATCTTTTTTTTTTCTTTTTTGACTTGGAGTATTTGTGTTATTACTCCCTTTTTAATTTTATACTACTTAAAATGAGAGCAGATGTGATATATACAGTTTAAGAGCGTGGGAGTTAAAAAAAGAACCTAATAGATTAACGATATTAGTGTTAGTGTGCTGTAGGGTACATTTCTGTTTAATGGGGTAACACTTAAAGCTATATTGTGGCAATCTTTATGGCCAACACACATAAACAAGGAATGCATGTTAGCAGCAGCAAGACAAAGCAGAAACGTAAGTATGCATTCAGCAGAAGTGAGCGGGTTCTTTTCTGTTTTGCTGGCGCAGGTGATAAAGTTGCTAATAATGGTACAACTCATGCCAAACGGAATAGCCTCGCTGGTAACCTTTTATGCCTCATTTACAAACCAAGTAGCAGCCATTTCTTATTAGATTGATTGTTTCTTTCTATACTGGCATACAATTACATAGAATTTTTACAAGATAGTTCAATTTTATGCCCTAAGGATATTCGCGGTAATTAAGATAATTAGGATGCAATCACACCACTCACCTGAAGGCAAAGTCAAGGGTTAAACTCATCAATTCTAATGAGAATGCACTAGCGAAGTAAAGCACTGCAGTTTTACATAATTTCTGAGTAAGCTATTCTTACGAACTGAAATGATTCTTGCACTTAAACATGTATTCCAAATTAAGATTTAACTTGAAATTAATGTAGATAATTACGGCGAGAATTGATTTTTGTAGCGTAGTTTATGTGAGAGAAGATCACTTGGAGTAAAGTGATATGAAATGGCGAATCAGAATGTTGAACCATGAAAGCATAACAAATTCTTAAATTAATGTCTTTTTACAAATTTATTGTCTTTATTTATTGGCTTTTTACAAAATTTTAAACGATATTAAAATGTTTAAAATTTCGTAAAAAGAAAAAATTCTTAGAACTAACATTTGTTAACATTTTTTATGTGGATACTGTATGTTGTCGCCAATAAAGTCTGCTTGGCGAGATTTGCGCTGGCAAAACGGAAAAGTACCAGTGAGAGTTATAGAGTCAGTTCTTTGTTGAAATTTTAATCTGTTTTAATTAAGATATCCGTAATGCTATACATTAAGTATGATGGCATGATGTGGATTAATTTTGAAATGATACACTTTAGAATCATGTACTGTGAACCGTTAGCAGTTTTTAGGACAAAAAGGGAAAGTAGCCAAATTAAAATAAGGAATAAAAGGGACTACTACAAATTAAAATTTTTCATATTTTATATCTTAGGCACATATATACAAAAGTCTGCAATCATGCAACCCCTATTTGGCTTCAGAAGAATATTTTTTTATGGTCAGATGAAAAAAGCTGTTGTTATTTTTCTCCTAAATATAAGATTAAGCCTAGGATTAGACTGTATAATTCTGAAGAGTCCCAATTATTTCAGGGAATGTATCTGGTGCAGGAAAAAAATCCAGTATTTTTAAAAGAGTGGCTGTCAGATATGAAAGATAAATTATTAATTTAAAGAAAGTACAAAATCTTAATAAAACTTTTATTTGGATGCTAGTATTTTAGGATAAAGTTCAGGCAATTTTTGAGATCTTAAAGAGAAATTCTATTAATACACCTTTGCATCAATGAACCTTCACATTAATACTGAAGAACATAATTTACTTTTCAGTATTTTGGGCATTTCTGTTGATTAGGTTCTTTGTTTTCCATTTCTTCACATCAAATCTTTATCTGTAGCACTAAATTAAAAATCTTTTTTAGTATTCTTAACACCAGGGCTTAATTTCTAAAATTAGATGTGCCGGAGCCCTATGGAAGACCGTCAGCAAAGAGGAACTAGAGTAAATAAATAAATAAAATGACTATTAAACTCATTTATAATTTTAAAATTAAATAGGTAATTATTATCAAATTTATTAATAGCTATTTAATTAATGTTTAGTAATTGTTGTAATTATTAATTATTATTTAATCAATAATTATTTAACTGTAATTTAATTGATAATTATTAGATAATTAATTTATTATTATTTATTGAAACAATTAAATAATTAAAGATTACAATAATTAAAAGTAAAGAGATAAATTAAAATTTAATAAATGATTTTTAATATCATTTAATTGCTAAAAATAAAATTTATATTGAAATTGTTATTCAATTACATAAAAGAAGTGCCACAGCTTTCTTATTTAGGGCTCTGATGCGCTCCGGCTAGAATTACAAAAACTAAGAAGCACCGAAGCCGGAATCCAATGGGCTCCAGCCCAATTTAAGCTCTGATCGTAGGGGGAAAAAAATTTCTTTTATCATCACAAAAATTAAATATACTTAAAGTATAGCTGATGAAAATTAAGATAATGCTAAAAACAGGGCGAAACAGAATGAGGGCGTGAGGGTATGAGTGGGTGGAAATAAAAATGAGGGGAATCTTGGTGACAAAGAACATTCTTTTTGACCACGGCTCTCTGCTGGTGCCGGGAAAAATGAATTCCTGAATCTGACTCCTAAGGATGAATGTAAAGTTGCTGGTCATACTTTTCTCCCCCCTCGATTTGGTTACATTAGTGGATACTGTGGTAAGACGATGTATAGGACGTGCTTGAGCAATTTATCTCAGTATTTCACTCTTATTGTACTCGCTGTCATTTAATGCACATTTAAGAACACAAATTTTCTTTTCTGCGAGGATAACTGTAACCATCGATAACAATACATTAGATACAATGGCATAGCGAGAAATTTACGCATTCCTAAACAAACTCCACAAATTTATTGCCCTTCTTAAAGGGAAAGGTTTCTGCATGTGAGTAACGGAGCTTTACTTAAATGTTTCATGTTCTCATAAGTTCGTATTTCTAGGGAAATAGAGTATTCCAACGTTTGCTTATTGTTGAAGTAAAACATTAGGAATTCTAATTCTTTTTTTCTTGAAATTTTGGCTCAGTTTTATACCGGAGCTCATCTTATTTAGCGCTCTGATGTGCTCCGGCTAGTATTGTAATTTATCTTAAAAATTGAGACATACCGGAGCCAGGTTTGTTCGGCTAGTATTCGGCTAGTATTGTAATTTATCTTTAGATGTACTGGAGCAAGGCTCCACTGGGCTCCGGCACAATTTAAGCACTGATTAACACCTAAATTAATTTTCCATGATGTTCTGGATTAGCTTTCCTAAAATGTGGGTAACTGTACCTGATAAGTACTATAGCACAGTAATTGGCTACAGAATTTATGTTCTCTAGACATATACAGTCAAAAGTCTTTAATCTGGACTCGTCGGGACTTCGACGATTTCGGATTATAGATGATCAATTTAAATCTGGTGAGATGGCATGCAGAAATTACAAAATTAAAAAGATGAAACCGCAATTTATGAAATAAAGAGCAATTATAATCTAAACAGTATC